GAGAAGTGGGAGCACCCATTGCAAACAATTGTACTTCATCGTCATCCTCATCAAGGGGCTCATCCAAGGCATGTGGTGGCAGGAGATCTCCATGTGCTGGGTCAACTTGCCCCGAAATTCTCACCCGTGGTATACGCAGTGTGAGACCCTGACCATCCAGGATGCGTACATCATGTTCTGGAAGGAGTTCTCTGTGTCCATGGAAGAGCTGACAACGGTCACCTGCTGCCTGATCAAGAGGGCTGCAAAGATGTCCATGTCCAGAGAGGGCAATGAGTGCCTCGACTGCAGTCAAAGGCCTCGTGGAATGTGCAGTCTGTTGGACATATAGCGGAGGCTCCTCATCATCATGGGCAGTAATGACACAAGCTGTCAAATCATGATGCGGATGCTGGACAATCAGGATAGTTGCCACGAAACTCTGCGTGGGTCTCATCGGGGGGTTTGGATTCACGAAATGCAATGCATATGGGGCATTGTGATCGAAGTAATCCTCCCACATAAACTTCAGATCATCGAGCCAGGTATCGTGCTCAACGTCGAAGCGTAAGGGTCGCATTTGTGGATTCATGGTGTGGTAGGCATGAGAGATGTAATGCGAAGCCACATAAATAACTGGTCCTTCTTCTTCCATTTCAACTTCACCATGCGCTCGAAGGATGTCCCACATTTCGTGATACCATGTGGCTCGTTCGACTCGAGGTGGATTGCGAAATGGGTCAGCTGCACTAGCAACATCACTTGTAGAAGAGGCAGTGCTGAAGAAGGAGTATGGCTCGTTGGTACTCATCATGATGGGCTGATTGCCATTTGTAATAGTATGCCGCCTGGAGATGCACACAGTGTCATACATCAGTGGATCAACATCAGTACGGACATCCAATCTGAGGGAGGTAGGAGACGTCCAGGAGGTTTGCAACCTGGAGTGGATGTCTTCATCTTCAGTTGCATTCAATTGAAAGGACGTGGATGTAGAGTTGGTACACATGTAGTCGTCAATGTGCTCGCCGATAAGGAGGCGGAAATAATCTCCATCCTGCAAGTACATGGGACTCATCGTGCCATCGTTCACTTCGATGTTGTTGTACCAGAGGTGACTGCGTTCAGGGTGTTCACGTTGAAGTTGTTCGACGCCAAGAAGACGAAAAGCAGAAACTCTGTTCAAGGTTTCAGGAAGCCAGGTTGCAAAGCGTCGAAATGCTCCTGGTAGTACTTCATTGGGCTCATAGATCTCCAAATCAATCAACACCAAGCGCATGAATGTTGATGGCCTTGGTTCCAAATGGGTTTGAATCAAAAGACATTCAAGTCCTTGCTGAATGAGGTCTTGTGGACGGTGCCGCACATAGTGTGTCCCATACAACGCTTGTCCAGGTTCATCAAAGGCACGCAAGATCAAGGGAACAATCTGATCAGCGTCGTTCCATGGGAGACGTGCAGGAATCATTCGTCCATCAAGCCGTATCAACACTGTTTGTCTCAAATCTTCTGATCCAGTAGAGCTAGTCGTTGAGGATGTAGCAGAAGATGTCGAGGTGGAGGAAGGCGTTATAGAGGGTTGTCGTTGAGGTTGTGATGGCCGGCGGGCCATGAAGGAAGTCTCATCAAAAGTAGGGATTGGTTGGTCTTGTGTCTAGGCATGGCGGGAACGTAGACCCCATGGTTTATCTGCAAAATCACCAAGGGCGTCATGTGTGATCTTGGATGATCGAAAGTCGCCTGTTGCATCGTGACCAATTGAGACTTCAACTTCATCACAAAATGTGACAGATCCCTTCATAGACTTCTTGCGCAAGGGCAAAGAAACGACATCAATTCTCGGCATAGATGAAGACCCCATTTCATCTGCCAAGGTTGAGGCATGTTCTTGCGCTTGCCATTCTGAGAGGTAGTTGGGTTCCTCATGGACAGAATGTGACCATTGCAGTCGTACTGCATCAGGGCTGATCACGGGCCACTCCTTCGGCCACTGGTGGGTATACCCATCGGTCATGCCGCACCGGCCTTCCCAAAAGGCGGAGCTGGGGGAGCACCAGCATCGCTTTCGGATGTCCGTGGCCGAGCTGATCGGCTGAGGATGATAACTCCTCTAAACTGGCCACAATAGAGTTCATGCCATCCTGCACTCGTTGAACTCCATCTCCATGAGGATCTTCCATGACATCGTCCGCAGGCTCTGTGTCGCTGTCGGAGATGGTATATGTGCCATCCTTGCCTGCCTGCTCCCTCTTCGAAGCCACATCGAAGGCTTTCTGTGCTCGTCGAACCACATGACGAGCAGCCTGAACTCCTTGCTGGTGGGCGCTCTCCGAAGCTTGGAAGCTGGCCGTGTATTCCCTCCACTTCGTAAGGGATTGCTGGATGAATTGTTTCCACTGAGTCAGCATTTGCGCTCTTGCGTTTTCGGCTTCCAAGAGGTCCTGCTTGGCATCGCCTATAGGCACGAACTGCAGAAGAAAGGTTCTTGATGCTGCTCTTCTCGCCTTGCTTCTGAATCTCGTCTGAATCTCGTGAGCAATGGACTGCAAATGCGGTGACAGCTTGTCCTCCTCTTTTTTCATCTCCTTGAGAAGACGGTTGAGCTGCTGTTGGGCTGGTCCATCTTGTTTGGCACCACTCAAGGCTTCTGTTGTACTGGTAGAACACGTCGGCATTGGTGGGCCCATGGGCGGCATAGGGAATTGCATCATTTGAGCATTGGCTCCCCATGGCATGGCTGGTCCAGCAGGTACAACTCCACTGGTCGTCGCTGTAGATCCAGGTCCTTTGCCTACACCTTTGTCGATCAGCGGTGGAGGTGGAAGGGGTGGCTGCATCATCATTGGCGGATAATGAGGCATCATGGCTTGGAACGGCATGAAGGATGGCATTGCCACCTGTGTCGGAGCCAACTGCTCCTGTCCTTTGCCATGTCCTTTTGGGTGTTGTGGCGGATCTCCTCCCTGCCATTGTCCATTGCCTCTGTTCTGCTTGTGTCCTCTGTTGGGCTTCCGAGTGCGTGTCCGTGGACTCCAAGAGCCAGAGTTGGAGTCCTGCCACTGCGGATTGCTCCAGGGAGGCTGTTGACCTGCTTGTTGGTTGTAGGGCTGCTGTTGGCGATGCTCCGGTGGAATGAAAGCCCCATCGTTGCAGGATGCCCATTCTTGCCCACATTTCCAACAGCGCGGGAACGTGCCCTTCATGACCACATGGCAGGTATTGCAACGCCAAGATGGTTGTTTTGAAGCCATAGTTCTGGAGTAGACTGCAAGGATTGAGCGCAGCAGCTGTGGATCTCGCGAGTGGTGCTTGCTGAGCTTGGTGTAGAGCTTGAAGAGCTGGTGCGGAGAAAGAACACGATAGCCTTTCCGGTGGAGGTACCAGGTAAGTCGAGCTTGGGCTCTTTGTCGCCTTTGCCCTCTCCTGATAGAAGCCGTGGCCGTGATCTTCTCTAAAAAGAGGTCCAGCTCCAGCGCAGCACAGCAAGTTCTTGAAGGCCAGGATCAAAATGTGCAGGATGAAGAACTGCGTTGCCCTACCCATACACAATGACCTGGCAGTAGGCGACGATCGCGTGACCAGAAGCCGCAGAGGTGATCACGGTGGTCAATCCGTGAGAGCACTTGCCAGCAGCAGGCCACAACAGCGCAAGCAAGGTCAGTATGACCCGCGGGTACGGCGCCAAGGAACCCGCTAAGGTGACGGCAGACGGTCAAGCGTGGGGACCTGTAAGCCAAACCTTATATATATATATAATTACATATATATATTTAATTATATATAATTATGTATATATATATATATTATGTATATAAATAGTAGTGCCATAAATGATAGGGATTATGTATCCATATCAATGATATATCCAGTGGGACGAGTGAACGAAAGCGAAACCAGCTGGGCTTCCGACGGAAGGTCTATCCCTTGAGATCAAGCCCAGGTCTGGTTAGGGATATATTATATTGTATATATATGGTATAGAATATATTAATACATAGGGATATCATAGTTATATATGGTATAGAATATATATAACTATGAGAGATATATATATTTATTGTTATATACTATATCATAGTTATATATATATATATATTCTATATATTATCTGTTATATACTATTACTATGTAATATCATGGTTATATACAATATATATATACATATAAGAGTTATATACTATATACAACAGTTATATACTATATAACTATATCTAATAGTTATATACTATATATAGTGGTTATATATATATATATACACATCACACACATATATATATATACATACACACAACAACTACTAACATTTACAAAGCACAGATCATAGCTTCAAATTGGGATCATCCCGGCTGCAGGTAATCTTGACCCTTGGAAGTACAATAGGTGGTTTCCATAGTCATGAGTCATGGGGGTACCCCAAGATGAATGGTTTGTACTGGAAAGTCCCAATCTAAAATGGATGATAGCTAGGGGTACCCCAAGGACTATGGAAACCTCTAATTATCCTTTCTTGACCAACAAGTGGTAGCTGATTGGTGGTTTCAACTAAATAAATGTTCAACCATATTTGGGAATGATGATCCCCAATGACTATATAATATGAATCAGATAGGTTGAACCCACCAATCAGGGAGGTAGTATTTTTCCCAAGCATAATGGGGTTTGAAGAAATAACCATGGAGATCAACTCTAGCACCGAGTCCCAAACGGATATTGGGGTATGGCTTGAACCAGTCGGATTCCCCAGTTCTTTTTGCACGGCCCTGCAATCAGACATGTCCACCGGGAGCTCCTAAAAAAAACAGGGGAACAGTTCCACATGACTTTTCAGGGGAGTCCCAAAGTGGCTTCCTGATCAGGGTATTTTGAGTCAAGAATTTCTCCAAGTCTCCGGTTTTTGTATATCTCAATCAGGGTTAAACACCTATATCCAATTTATCAGTAGGTCATTTTTCTCAGGGTATTTTGGAGTATTTCTCAATCACCTACTTTGCCTATCAAAAAACCAGGACTCCACTGGGTTTTCACGTGAAACATCGGGTGAACTCCTCCGTCCGGGGCGGCACGTGTAGGAAGTGCGGGTCTGTGGCACGTGCGGCATCCTCTATGACAGCGTGGTGCCCATCTTTGCCGCTGAGTGAAACTGCCGAATTTTTTTCTCACGGTGTAAAGGGATGGTGCAAAATCGTGGCATTTTCCAAGACAAAGAGATGGGAAAATATAATGAAAACATCGGAAAAGTGTACGGATTTTCTCGGTTTTTCAAGTTCATGAAACTCCGTCATTTCTTGTATGAATGACTTCAAACAAAGGACCCGGAAGATTGTGTATGGAAAACACCAGGTGCCCAAAAACCTGTCCTCACCTCCTCTGCAAATGCCCAGCGCCTCTTCTCGCTTTTCCTCGTCGACGCTGATGTCTTCGAATTTTGAGCTGAAAAAGGCAGCTACAGCGCTGCATATTGGACAATGTGATGTATGTGCATTTCCAACTGCACATGAATTGAAATCAAATGGAAAAAAGGCTGAATATGGTTCATGCATTCTGCACTCCCCCTTGACTGAATCGCTAGGTTTCAGTCACCAGCTCAAACTGCCTTTTCTATCCTGTAAAATTGGTGCAATACATGCACCCGCGAAACTCAGAAACGTTCTCCGTCCGTGGGCATGTGGTGTCTGTGTGAAGGATCTGACCTGAGGTCAGCAGCAGCAGTGGAGACCCTGGTGGTGGACGCCCTCTCGTCCTCATCGTAACTTCCTTACAGAGTTCGCACCAAGCATACTTTCGTGCAAATCCAGTTCTCGGACCCTTGAGCTGTGTGCAAACCCGAGTTGAATGATACACTGTCCCGCAAGGAGTTCTGAACACATCAAAGCCCAGATCTGCGCCTTGTAGGGGAATCGCCCCATGCTTCTATAGTCTCTCCACAGCTGCACCTCCTCTTCTGCAATCGTTCTGATGGTGGCCTGAATTCTCTCGGCCATGCTGTCTGATGTTGATCCACTGCCAGAGCTCGATGACTGCTCTGACCCAGAGCTCGAAGGCTGCCCTGGTCTTTGATTTGGGCCAGGCGCGGCTGTCTCCTCTACAGCTCCACGCCGGCCGGCCTGCGCGAGCTGGACCAGGACCCTCTGTCCCGACCCGTCCTCAGCGCGGCCTGATTGGTCGGCCGTAGCGGCCTTTGGCATTGGGCCGGGCGCAGCCCGCTCTCGGCCGGCCTGCGCGAGCTGGACCAGGGCCCTCTGCCCCGACCCGGCCTCAGCGCAGCCTGGATGTTCGGCCGTATCGGCCCTTGATGTTGGGCCGGGCGCAGCTGTCATCTCAACAGCTCGCTCTCGGCCAGCCTGCGCGAGCTGGACCAGGGCCCTCTGCCCCGACCCGTCCTCAACGCGGCTTTCTGTTGGTGCTGATCCCATTCTCAGCTCCTCAAAGTTTGGCCTCTTAATTTCAGGCTCCTTGGGCTCCGCAGGGAGACTTCGGCTCTCGCCGCCAAACAACCAAATCCTCAAGTTGTTGCAGATCGAGCTTACTCCTACCTTCCACAGAGCTTGAAGGCCCAAAGTAAAAATCACCACCAGCAAGGTGTAGATCATCACAAGTTGGTTGAACTCGGCAGACGACTCTTCTTCCTCGTCCTCCTGAGCTTTTGACATCTGCAGCGAAGCGGCCATGGTGATCAGCCTCAAAGCCATGGTGGCCACTTCCGACCCCTGCACCAACGCAGAAACCTTCTCCACTTTCTCCTCTGTCTTTTCTGCAGCTTCATCCTCAAAAGGCCCAGTCTTTTTCATACCAAGCATTTCCTTGAGAATCTGCAGCCTCGTTGATGCCAGTGCCTTCGTTCCCAAATCGGCTATCATGCGCTCTCCAGGGACATGACTCACCTGCCAGTCTCCTCTGATGACAGCCTGTCTTGCGAAAGCCCATCTCAAACGCAAATGCCTTGTGCGCCAGCTGCCACCCTCTGCCACAAGGATCGCCAGGGTTGCTTGAGAGTCGCACAAAGCAATGCGGCTGACTTCTGCAAACAGCTCAGCAATGATGACATAGACTGACTCTCCAGCCACCATCGCCTCCACCAGTTCTGTGAGCTCAGACTCTGCCGTGCTCAAAGTCACGGCCGATTGGCGGCCACTCCTCCAAAACATCAAATTCCCATTCGCCATGACAATGAATGAGCCATGCGATTCATCTGATTCTGGAGCAAAGCTTGAGTCTGAGTACACATAGAGGTTGATTGGATCTCCAGGCTTCTCCTCAAACTTCAAACCTTCATCCACTGTGCCTTTCAAGTACAGCCTCATCTGCTTGGCTGTCTCCTGGATGAGCTGTGTTGATTTGAGAACGCTCGCTCCCATCCTTGACACCCCAAACATCAGGTCGGGTCTTGTACGCGTAACCAACCAAAGCAACTCCCCAATGACTTTCTGACATGCCTTGATCCCTTCTGCTGAAGGCGGGGTCACATCTGGGTTCATGGCAGCTTGATCACGCGTGATGGGGATCTTCCGAACCTTCTCACCATCTTCGTATCTTCCAAGCAAATCCTTGGTGTATGCCTGCTGATTCAAGTTCCACTGCATCGTTTCCTCCCCCTCTGTTTGGCAACAGGTGATCTCGACACCCAAAAACCTCACAGGACTTTCTCCAATCTCCTCTGGGGTTGATGTGCTCCAAGTTTCTTGAAGACGCTGTGTCACCGCCTTCATGACATCCCTTCTTCCAGTGACCAGAATGTCATCCACGTTGGTCATGACTAACCCAACAACTCTGCCATTTGACACCAGCTCCTCCTCCAAGTCATCTTGAAACGCATCCTTTTTGATCACCACCTTCCAAAGGTTCTGCTCTGACTCCATCTGCTTCAAGACCAACATCTCCTTCCTGCCATCCAAAGTCGCAGGAATCTTCAGGTCTCTCATCGTCCTGTCGCGGTGCAATCCCCACAATCTTGGAGATCTTCTGAAGACGTACACCGCCCTCAATGGCAAAAAGAATGCTTCTCCTCTGAAAAACTTGGCCTCTCTCAAAACATGTGGAGCCTGAATCAAGAGCAGATCCTCCTCTGGTGACTGCTCCATCTCTGCATTCAAAAATGCAGTGCGAATGTCAAGCACGCATCCACACCAGCCCATTTTGGATGATGTCCACACAAGGATGCGCAGAGTAGTTGCGTCTGCGCCGGTGGAGTACGTCTCTTCGCCCTCCTTTTTCTCCGCATAGTTCCCGCAGACAACCCACCGGCTTTTCAACTTTCCACCTGGCTTGATTGTGAACACCATCTTCGAAGGCAAGACTTCCAGCTTCTTCCCTTCTTTCTGTGCCTGCAGCCTCAACTCCTCAACCTCAGTTTTGGAAAGGGGCTTCAATGCCATCTTCTCAACGGTCAATGACTCCACCTCACTTCTGATGGAAGGCTCCCAATCATCCCAATTTCGAAGAACCTCCTTGGGAGAGATGATCTTTGTCTGCAAAATTTCTTCATTCTCCCCCTGTTCCTCCACCATCTTCTTCAAGCGTCCCAAAATTCGGACTTCATCTGCTGCAAGCTCTGGGTCTTCGTTGATGAGAGTCTGCATCTCCTCCTCAACCAACTTCATAACCCTTCTCAACTCAACTTTCTTCTCCTCTTCTTCAACCTCCTCTTGATCCATCAAGGAAGAATCCACCTTTCTCAACGTAGATTTCCCCCTGATTCTCCTCCGCTGTTCTTGGGCATCACGGCCTTCTTTCTCAACCGCAATCCAAACTGCTTCATCCTCAGGCTCTATAGTTGGCGCTAAAATGCACCTGGTCAGCCTTGGGGCTTCTCCCTCTTTGTAAATCCAGTGCCCATGATTTTCCACGGAGGGGCAGAGATACTGCACTTTCTCCACCCTGGATGACAAATCGTCTTTCCTCCAAGTTCTTTTCCTCACCCTCACCTCCTGCAAAAATCTGGGCCACTCTGGCTTCTGATCCATTCGGATGCATCTTTCTACCTCGTTGGCATAGCGCAACGCCCACGGCCACCACTTGGCATCTTCAGAGGCCTGTCTCACCGTCCTCCTGATGTAATTCTTGAAGGCTTTCACGGCCATCTCAGCACGACCATTTCCACTTGGATCGTCTCCAGGGGTCTTCGTCAGGTAAATTCCTCTTTGCAATGCCCAACGCTTGAACTCCCCTGCAAATTCATGGCCTTGATCTGAATGGATCCTCCCCACATGATACCCTTCTGACCTCAGCCTCAACACAAACTCCATCACAGTGGCAACCACTTCCTTCGCCTTCTTCGACTTCATCGGCAATGCCATCTGAAAAACTCGCATCTCCGTGGCCTCATCCAGAGTTTGGGGGCCATGGGTCCGGAGCGGCTCTGCTCCATCACCTGAGAGCTGGACCAGGGGATCAACCCCCGACCCGTCCTCATCCGGGACCCGGCCAGGGTGGCTCCTCTCATCACCCGGCGCTTCACCAGAGAGCTGGACCAGGACCCTCTGTCCCGACCCGTCCTCATCTGGTGGTTCCTCCTCCTGGCCATCGGCTTCGATCAGTGGGGCATCATCAGGTGTTTCTTCTTCTGGGGGATCTTTCAACTTATTTGTTCCTTGGGGCACCCTCCATGTCAAAGCACCCACCAGAAAATATCGCACCATCGATCCACCCATGTCATAGGCTGGCTTCAGAGGCCCTGCCGTGTCAATTGACAGCACCCCCGCCAATGGATCTTTCACTCGCCTATGCGGAGGGCATTGTTGTGAACTCTCCTGACACAGCCGGCAATCACGTCAGTATGGGATGTGCCTGAACTCCAAGTGCTCCTCCCATGTCATCGCTTTGCATTTCACACCAGACTGGCACACTTGTTGGATCAATGCCGTAGACACCATAGCCATCACGCCAGGGGCCCACCTCGACAAATCCAAAGAGCTTGAAACCTTGACTGGTCCTCCAAAATTCCTCCTCTGGAAGGCATTCATGTTCAGCTCCAAGTTTCCACCAAACGTAGTGGGCTTTGGCGAGGCTCCACCCATAGTGCCCTGCTTGAAGGTTGTCTCCTCCAGCTCGAACTCTTCTGAGATCGCCTTCCATTCCTTGGTGTCCCAAAAACTGACCACCTCAGGCATATAGTCCTTCGGGGAGGCTGGTTGTTCAAGTCCAAATGCCACCCAATCGTTCATCCTTCTGGCCCTTCTCATGTAGGTGGACAACATGAACAGGAAAATGCACCTCCACATCATGATGTCATCGGCATGCAGCTTCTGAATCTCCTCTTCCGTCGCGTCTGCAACCCCAAACTCTTCACCACCCCACCTTCTGATCGGGCGAGGCGCATTGGGTTGTCCAGGAACTGGTACATGACGGAGAAGACTGCGAGTCCTGCAATTCGGACCAGCCACAATCGACAAGATCTTACCCTCAAACGCTGCTCTGATCAACGCAGCATAGACACCCTCATCAGCCAACATGTCATGTTGTGGACCTCTTTGCAAATCCACCTCCAGCAACTTGTCATCTGGCCCACCATGTTGACGTAATGCCTTCTTCAGGGTAAAACCAGAGTCAGGTCCAGCAAACAAATGAACCATCATCCCATCTTGCCGCCACCTTTTTCGTTGATGACGATTCCCAGGGATTGAAGACCACTCCCCAGGACACACCACAAGCCTCTCCTTGATGCGTTCAGGAAGTGTTGAAAGAACCGTGTGCTGTTCCACCAACCTTCTCATCCAACAAACCTCCTCATCAAATGCACCAATCTGTTTCGGAATGCCAACCTTCGCATCCTCGATCTCTGCAATCAGCTCCAACGCAACTGACTTGGAAAGGTGTGGACAGCCCTCCTTCATGTGGATCGGAATGTCTCCTCTCTCGGGATGTTTCAACTGCATAGATCCATCGCTCCAAACAATTTGACACCCCAACACCTCCGTCAGCTGTCCCATCGGCACAATCGGCTCAACTGCCGGTGATGGAGAAATCATCGATCCTCCTGGTGCCATTCTCAACCTTACTGCTCTTCCATCAGCCAAACCCACATCAACCAGTGGATGCAACTGAACATTTTCACCATCTTTCCGAGGTCGAAGTGCATGTGTGGCCCCGGAATCAACCAAACCCACCTCTGCACCCGTTGTCCATCTCCTCAACTTGAAGGTCTTCATGGCTTTCAACTGCTGCTGAAGTCTTTCCATCACGTCCCTGCGCTCATCCTCTTGCGTAGTGCCTCCAGAAGACCTGAAGACGACGTAGATATGGACCTCAGCATCTTGTTGGCCTCCTCCAAAACATTCTTGACAGCGCTCTCAGAACTGGCTTGGCTGCTAACTTCAGGATCCTTCACAGATGTCTGCCCTTTCTCCTCCCCCTCGACCTCGCCATTCTGGGTTTGGTAGGGCTTGTCTCTGATGATGGACCTCTCGACCTCGTGCATGATGGAGCCAAATGCTCCACACTGCCGCAAGTGTAGCAGCGTCTTTTCTCATCTCGCACATCATGACTGAAGCCACATTCTTTCCCTTTACGGCATCCTCCATCTGTCAGAAAAAACTTGCATCTAGGCTTCTGTTTCTCCTCACCTTCTACCCTGTCTCTGCCCTTTCCCTTGCCTTTGTCCACCTCCATGGCCTTCAGCTTGGCCTCACCCTTCGGCACAACTGCAGCTGCTCTTTTCTCAGACAAAGCAACCTGCTCCACCTCCGCCAAATGCGTGGCGAACTGGCTCACGGTGACGTCAGTTAATTGGCCTTGTGTCCACTCCAAGGGAATTCCGGGCAAGGCTAACCCTGAATTGGAGTTCTTTGTTGGCTTCAAGCACCTTGCGAGTCAGCTTGTTCAGACCCTTGAGCAACAACGCAGGGTCTGGCATCACTGCACCTATCTCTTGAGTGCGCAACTTCCAGCGAAGCCACCGCCGAATCGCAGACGGCGCCTCAGACATAGTTCCAACCTCCACAGGATCCTCCAAACTGCGGAGCAAGGTCTGCTTTTCCAGCACACCGCCCGGGCAGTACGTCAGCAACAGCTGCGTCAAGATCCCAAAGACACTCAGCCGCCTGGCCGAGATCAGTTCATCCTTGACTCCTTCAGGGACTGCTTGAAGTAGCATCGATGCCATCCTTCTTTCCAACCTCGACCAACAATTTTTCCAAAGAAACGTCTGAGGGCGGCTTCACTTCATGTTGAACTCGGTCAAGTGGGGACATGGCCATGTGTTTCTGATACCACTGCTCAGCAGATTTCACCATCAACGACCACCACAACTCCGATGAAGCTGACAAATCTGCTGCTATCCGTTCAACCGTCAGCAACCAATCTCCCAACTGCAAAGGTCCTTGACTCGGAGTCCATTGTTGTAGAACTGGAAGATCAGGGATGCCTGTTCTCACAACCTCGACACCCCGAACCATTCCTGATTCTTCCTTCCCTTCGGTTACCTTCTTCTGCAAGTCTTTCATAGTCTCCATCATGATCATCATGAACTCGATGGACTTCTCAGTGAAGGTGGTTTCACCTGCCCTTGGAGCGCCCTTCTCAAACTGCGCCCTCTCAGTACCCTCACCTGCGTCCTCAACTTTCGCCTTTGGGGGTCTTTCGGCCTCCTTGGGGGTCTTAAAACCTGCAGCCTCCTTAAGATCTGCAGCCTCTGGGAGGAATGGTGGTCTTTCGGCCTCCTTTGATCCTCTGGTTTCCTCAGAACTTCTACGCCTCAGCCAGTCAGTGTCCTCCTCTCGAAGACCTGAAAGCTGTTTCGAAGTCTGTTCCTCAAGAGTCGAAAACCTATGTTCTTCCTCTCTGGAAACCTTCTCACCACCATCAACCCTAGATTTCAACTTCTGATTCTCTGTTGTCAATGCTTGAATCTGCCTCTTGAATTCCTCCTTTTCTTCTCTATCTTTCGCAATCTGCAACTTCAGAAACTCCACATCTCTCTCCATCTGACTCTGTGAAACTTGTTGTGCGTCAACATCCAAAAATGCAGGACGCGGGACAGAACCAGTGAAAATGGATTGTGGGTTTCCATACAGCCATGGTGCTTGACTGTGAATCATTGCAAAACTCCTCAACTGTTCTTCTGAAAACAACGGAACCTGTGGACCCAAAAACCCACCAGGTGTTGCAGCCTCAGACATCGGTCCTCCAGGAGTTGCCATCTCGCTCCTCGGTGGTCGCTCCGATGTCAAACGCTCTGCATCCAACTTCTCCTTCGACTTTGGGTCATTCGTGCCGTAGGAGGAGTCGCCGTTGCCAAGTGCAGGTGGCTCAGGTGGCGGATCAGTGGGAGGCTGTAAGGGCTTGCTAGACGACCCCTGATTGGAACTTCTGGCTGGTGTTCCCTTTGGGTGATCACCCCCCTTATCCTCAATTGGAGGGGACATCATAACTCCAGCCTCATCACTAGGTTTTCTCTCAAGGTTATCTTCCAAAGCTTTTTCACCTCTCTCTACCGCCTCCTTCTGAAACCTCGCATCTGCTAGTCGAATTTCTTCTTGACCCTGTGCTATTTCTTCAGGGGTACTTTCCTCCTTCTAAGGTCAGCCATTTGAATCTTCTAAGGAGTCACTCAGTGGCCACTTGGGCTCATAACCTGAAAAACACCAGGTGCCCAAAAACCTGTCCTCACCTCTGCAAATGCCCAGCGCCTCTTCTCGTTTTCCTCGTCGACGCTGATGTCTTCGAATTTTGAGCTGCAAAAGGCAGCTACAGCGCTGCAAATTGGACAATGTGATGTATGTGCATTTCCAACTGCACATGAATTGAAATCAAATGGAAAAAAGGCTGAATATGGTTCATGCATTCTGCAGTGTAAATCCCAGACACTCACTCACTCACCATGCAAATAAATGGCGCAAGGTTTTTCCAACGCCTGAAATTCATTACAGTACTTCACCATGACCGACCTCTGTTTTAGAAATATATTGGCGAACAAATGGAGGTTTCCATAAATGGTACACCAAAATTCATGGTTTATGATGGAAAATACAAGTCTAAAATGGGATGATAACTAGGGGGTACCCCGATTTCATGAACCCCCCAAATATCATCACATGTTGTAAGCACCGTTTTTTAAATCTTTGTTTTGATTTATAGCTTATCATAGTTCTCAATTGATAAAATTGGCTCTGCTTTGTTGGTCGACCAATAGATGGTGTAGGTCAGGATTTTGAGCCATCCGTTTTCACCGCGGCGATAAATACGATGCTGGAAACATCCTTGCAATCAGAGCCGGGCTGGAAATTTCACATCGTGATTTTGGAGGAATATCAACCGTTAACTGCAGGATTTTATGACTTTGTTCTTCCTCTCTTTTGGCAATTTGCATCACGTGGTGGCTTGTAATGGGCCCACATCAGGGATCCTTCCGGCACAGTACAGCCACTTTTTTCTTTTGCATTTTGAAAACTGGGCGCGGGCCTCAGAAATTGAGACAATGCCCAGCGCCAGAAATGGAACTGTGCTTTCTACACAGCTTGAACCTGTTCCAGAGCACTCTGACCCGACCTGGCACCTCTCTGTGCAAGCAGTTTGGTTGGCACCGAACCACTCGGCTGTCACGACCCAGGTCAAAATGGGACAGAGCCTGTGAGAACTCTGACATACTCTGACTCCTTGCTTGATGAAAAGGGTGACAATCCTGCTGGGAGAACCGGCATGTACACCTCCCAAAGATGGATGTGGGTTCCATGTCGAATTTCTGGGGCATGCCTCTGCTACTCTGAATTCAAGAATATATAATTATATCTATAGTTATATATAGGAACTCCAATAAAATGAAACCGTTGGAAAGCTGAAAATTCAGCTCGCGTGAACCGTTGCCAAAAAAAAGTGGCTGAATTAACTCTGGTTTATGGTAGATATAACGAACTCGTGAAAATGGGGTAAACCAACAAACATCACTGGAAACCACCATCCTGTAGCCTTAAAAACGTATTGGGGACGATCAGAATCCACAAACTTGGAGTTCCCAGTGTATCCCCATTGTTCCTAGTGAGACAAACCTGGTGACCTTCCAAAAAGGCGACGCGTTTGTCACCTGCTGGTTAAACACCCAGTTGATTTGCATGATTGTTATGCTTTGACCTTGATTTTTCGATGGGTAAGACGATTTTTTAAAGTCCAGTTGTGCTGTTGACTTCCAGTCGTTAATTCCCAATGTTCCGCACTTCAATCCGTTATTGAAGGAGAGTTAAAACGACCTACTGCGGATGGCTCTCCGCGAAATCCAGGAGAGCCTTCCCTTCTGATCTCCAGCCTCGCACGGAGTAGCGCCTTGGGAATTACCATCTGGTAAACATCCAAGCAGCTATTGAAAATGGCCATAGACATAGTTGATTTACCTATTAAACATGGTGATTTTCCATAGTTATGTTAGTTTACCAGAGGGTATATACCAAGCATCTTGCTGGAGATAAAATGGAGGATGATTTTGATGTACTGGAGATATAATCCTGAAGTATGATATATGATAATATATATATGTTATAATTTATAGATATTATATTATAATTATAGATGTATATACTATATTATAGATGTATATATTATATATACACACATATCTAGATGAAGACCTCACGCTGTCATGAGGAATGATGGTTGGGAGGAGGGGAATCATTCCCTATTTTCAGCTCAATGAACTGGTATAATTCAGCCAGATCTTATGGTGATATCATGGGGGTCCAATGAGTATTTCACACGAGGGCTTTGAATGAGTTTTTTCCCAAAAGCATCTCCGATGCTTGGGTTCTCGTTTAGGCACTTTGTCGCGAGGGAGCGAGAAGGAGTGTTGGACGGAGATGGGTCGGAGATGGGAAGGAAGGAAAGGAGGAAGGAAGGAAGGAAGGAAGGAAGGGAGGAAGGGAGGAAGGGAGGAAGGGAGGAAGGGAGGATGGGAGGATGGGAGGAAGGAAGGAAGGAAGGAAGGAAGGAAGGAAGGAAGGACGGCAGGAAGGAAGGAAGGAAGGAAGGAAGGAAAGGAGGAAGGAAGGAAGGAAGGGAGGGATGGAGGGAGGGAGGAAGGGAGAGAGGGAGGGAGGGAGGGAGGATGCTGGACGGACTGGAAACCGTGCAAATAGCTTGGGGAGAGCTTCGCTGGGAGGGAGCGAGACAGCATGCTGGACGGAGAGGAAACCGTGCAAATAGCTTGCGGAAAGCTTCGGTGGGAGGGAGCGAGACAGCATGCTGGACGGAGAGGAAACCGTGCAAATAGCTTGCGGAAAGCTTCGCTGGGAGGGAGCGAGATAGCATGCTGGACGGAGAGGAAACCGTGCAAATAGCTTGCGGAAAGCTTCGCTAGGAGAGAGCGAGACAGCATGCTGGACAGACAGGAAACCGTGGAAATAGCTTGCGGAGAGTTTCGCTGGGAGGGAGCGAGACAGCATGCTGGACGGAGAGGAAACCGTGGAAATAGCTTGGGGAGAGCTTCTCTGGGAGGGAGCGAGACAGTATGCTGGACGGACAGGAAACCGTGCAAATAGCTTGGGGAGAGCTTTGCTGGGAGGGAGCGAGACAGCATGCTGGACGGACAGGAAACCGTGCAAATAGCTTGCGGAAAGCTTCGCTGGGAGGGAGCGAGACAGCATGCTGGACGGAGAGGAAACCGTGCAAATAGCTTGCGGAAAGCTTCGCTGGGAGGGAGCGAGAGAGCATGCTGGACGGAGAGGAAACTGTGCAAATAGCTTGCGGAAAGCTTCGCTGGGAAGGAGCGAGACAGCATGCTGGACGGAGAGGAAACCGTGCAAATAGCTTGCGGAAAGCTTCGCTGGGAGGGAGCGAGAGAGCATGCTGGACGGAGAGGAAACGGTGTAAATAGCGTGGGGAGAGCTTTGCTGGGAGGGAGCGAGACAGCATGCTGGACGGACAGGAAACCGTGCAAAGAGCTTGCGGAAAGCTTCAGTGGGAGGGAGCGAGAGAGCACGCTGGACGGACAGGAAACCATGCAAATAGCTTGCGGAAAGCTTCGGTGGGAGGGAGCGAGACAGCATGCTGGACGGAGAGGAAACCGTGCAAATAGCTTGCGGAAAGCTTCGCTGGGAGGGAGCGAGACAGCATGCTGGACGGAGAGGAAACCGTGCAAATAGCTTCCGGAAAGCTGCGCTAGGAGGGAGCGAGACAGCATGCTGGACGGACAGGAAAACGTGGAAATAGCTTGCGGAGAGTTTCGCTGGGAGGGAGCGAGACAGCATGCTGGACGGAAAGGAAACCGTGGAAATAGCTTGCGGAAAGCTTCGCCGGGAGGGAGCGAGACAGCATGCTGGACGGAGAGGACACTGTGCAAATAGCTTGCGGAAAGCTTTGCTGGGAAGGAGCGAGACAGCATGCTGGACGGAGAGGAAACCGTGGAAATAGCTTGCGGAAAGCTTCGCCGGGAGGGAGCGAGACAGCATGCTGGACGGACAGGAAACCGTGCAAATAGCTTGCGGAAAGCGAGGGAGCGAGAGAGCATGCTGGACGGAGAGGAAACGGTGCAAATAGCGTGGGGAGAGCTTCGCTGGGAGGGAGCGAGACAGCACGCTGGACGGACAGGAAACCATGCAAATAGCTTGCGGAAAGCTTCGGTGGGAGGGAGCGAGACAGCATGCTGGACGGACAGGAAAGCGTGCAAATAGCTTGCGGAAAGCTTCGCTGGGAGGGAGCGAGACTAGCATGCTGGACGGAGAGGAAACCGTGCAAATAGCTTGCGGAAAGCTTCGCTTGGAGGGAGCGAGACAGCATGCTGGACGGACAAGAAAACGTGGAAATAGCTTGCGGAGAGTTGCGCTGGGAGGGAGCGAGACAGCATGCTGGACGGAGAGGAAACCGTGGAAATAGCTTGGGGAGAGCTTCGCCGGGAGGGAGCGAGACAGCATGCTGGACGGAGAGGAAACTGTGCAAATAGCTTGGGGAGAGCGTCGCTGGGAGGGAGCGAGACAGCATGCTGGACGGACAGGAAACCGTGCAAATAGCTTGGGAGAGCTTCGCTGGAAGGGAGCGAGACAGTATGCTGGACGGAGAGGAAACCGTGCAAATAGCGTGGGGAGAGCTTCGCTGCGAGCGAGCGAGGCAGCATGCGGGACGGAGAGGAAACCGTGCAAATAGCTTGCGGAAGAAAAGCTTCGGTGTGGGAGGGAGGGGGGACCGGGAGCGAGACAGCATTGCTGGAAGGAGAGGAAAGCGGGCAAATAGCTGCGGAAAGCTTCGCTGGGAGGAGCGAGGACAGTCATGCTGGAACGGAGAGGAAACGTTTGAAATAGCTTGCCCCGGAAAGCTTCGCTGGAGGGAGCGAAGCAGCATGCTGGCCGGAAAGGGGAAAAAATGGAAAGAGCTTGCGGATTAGTTTCGCTTGGGAGGAGGCCAAACAGCATTTGCTGGACGGACCGAAAACCGTGCAAATAGCTGGGGGAAGAGTTCGCTGGGAAGGGAGAGAGGACAGTAGCGGACGGACAGGAAACCGTGCAAATAGCTTGGGGAGAGCTTCGCTGGGAGGGAGCGAGACAGCATGCTGGACGGACAGGAAACCGTGCAAATAGCTTGCGGAAAGCTTCGCTGGGAGGGAGCGAGACAGCATGCTGGACGGAGAGGAAACCGCGCAAATAGCTTGCGGAAAGCTTCGCTGGGACGGCGCGAGAGAGTGTGCTGGACGGAGAGGAAACCGTGCAAATAGCGTGCGGAAAGTCGCTGGGAGGGAGCGAGACAGCATGCTGGACGGAGAGGAAACCGTGCAAATAGCGTGGGGAGAGCTTCGCTGGGAGGAAGCGAGACAGCATGCTGGACGGATTGGAAATAGCTTGGGCAGAGCTTTGCTGGGAGGGAGCGAGACAGCATGCTGGACGGAGAGGAAGCCGTGCAAATAGCTTGCGGAAAGCTTCGCTGGGAGGGAGCGAGACAGCATGCTGGACGGACAGGAAAACGTGGAAATAGCTTGCGGAGAGTTTCGCTGGGAGGGAGCGAGACAGCATGCTGGACGGAGAGGAAACCGTGGAAATAGCTTGGGGAGAGCTTCGCCGGAGGGAGCGAGACAGCATGCTGGACGGACAGGAAAACGTGGAAATAGCTTGCGGAGAGTTTCGCTGGGAGGGAGCGAGACAGCATGCTGGACGGAGAGGAAACCGTGGAAATAGCTTGGGGAGAGCTTCGCCGGGAGGGAGCGAGACAGCATGCTGGACGGAGAGGAAACCGTGCAAATAGCTTGGGGAGAGCTTCGCTGGGATGGAGCGAGACAGCATGCTGGACGGACAGGAAACCGTGCTTCGCTGGGAGGGAGCGAGACAGTATGCTGGACGGACAGGAAGCCGTGCAAATAGCTTGGGGAAAGGTTCGCTGGGAGGGAGCGAGACAGTAGATATGTTTCAGTGTTGTTATGTTTCAGTGTTGTTAATCTTTGTGGCTGTTGCCACCGGTCTTTGAAATGAGACCAAAAACCACCGGTGTTCACATCACTGTTCGTGCAGAGCACAGTTAGCCCAGAATCGTGGCAATTTCGTCATATGGCAGAAAAAAAATCATGAGTATACAGTATACATATATATATATAGGATTTGATATTTTTAGGGTGCAGTTGGGTTTCTTTAATATTGCTGTAATATTGGTATACCTATGCAACATAAGCCCAATAAGTTGAGGTATGGGACGCCTATAATCCCCCGGCCAAGTGGAACTGCATTCCCAAGTTGTGGATTTTTGCCCACCATTATGAAGATATAGGGTGAGTATATATATATATATACACACATATGATACATACATAAATACACATATATATATATGGATGCATCGTATCTGACAACATGATATGGGTTTACCCAGAAATGTAAGATACCCTAATTTTGGCGAATAGTGGGGAATATGACCATCAACTATTGGCTTCTTTTAGGTACCCTAGTTTTAGACAAATCCACTTGAGAAGTTCACCAAAGATAAGACAGGACCAACCAGATAGACACTTCAGTTGAACTTATGATGCATGGGGATCCGTATTTCAAGCAGTACCCTCTGGTAAACTAACATAACTATGGAAAATCACAATTTTTAATGGGAAAACTCATTATAAATGGCCATTTTCACTAGCTATGTTAGTTTACCAGAGGGTATCTTGCAAAATAGGATTCAAGTGAAATGAATGGACACAGAAAAGAAACCAACACAGGGATTTAACTGGATAGAAAACCTGGGGCTGTTCTGTTGAGGGTACCTCAAGGTTGTTCCAAACAGAGCAAGAGAAACATCAGGGTATATCCTCTTTGTGCTGAAATCCCTCTGTTTGTACTGTTCATATTCAAATGGCTTCGTTTTTTCCAGAATCCAATGCCAAATCCAAGGGATTATCATCAACAAACACCGCCCACGGAAATCGCTAAAACACAGCCATTTTGTGTACCCTCTGGTAAGCTAACATAGCTATTGAACATGGCCATTTATAGTGAGTTTTTCCCATTAAAAATGGTGATTTTCCATAGCTATGTTAGTTTACCAGAGGGTATCCACCATTTTTGCGCGAACCCAACTGTCAATTAGTCGAAGCTTCAGACTTTCCCTCTTTAGTTGTTTTATTGCGATAGGCAGTGCCCGGTGCGCGCAGATGGATCTGAGCAACCTTGAGTCTTACATTGTTTCAGAATCTTCAACGCTCCTGGTCAAGTTTTTCTTGAATCTGTATATAGATGGTTAGGTGAGTTAATCGGGCATTCACTTCTTCGAAACTCAACTTTTGTTGTTTGGTGGTTTCGAGCATTATTTTTCCATTCAGTTGGGAATATCATCCCAACTGTTACTCACTCCATCATTTTTCAGAGGGGTAGGTTGAAACCACCAACCAGAATAGTTTCATACCCTGATCTATCAACATCCCCTTAGTTAATGACACATATCCCATTATTAATATTATAGTAACCATTACCCTCTGGTAAATAAACTTGTTGACCCTGAAAATCACAAATTTTTAATGGAAACTAGTCTTCCAACCCCGATGACTGGCAGGGTCTATGTTTATTTACCAGAGGGTATAAACCATTATAACTATGGATACCATAGTAGCTATTAATGGTATATTCATGGCTAATGATGGGATTAATATGATGGGATATAACCCAAACATACCCTTACCATTAGTCAGTGGTTTATTTACCAGAGGGTAATGGTTACTATAATAAACCATTATAACCATAAAAAAAACCATTATAACCATAATTAATATAGTAACCATTATAAACCATTATAGCTTTTGTTGTGTTGAGTTTCCAACCCATCATTCGAATTTTTCGATCATTTTCCTGGGTTCGAAAGCTCGAAATTTCGCCTCGAAAATGGTTGTTAAAGCCACAGACATGCTATGTCTGTTTAGGGTGGATTCATCGGTTAATACCCCCCTTCACCGTGGATATAAAACTGGTATATTCATGGGATATGAATGGTTTTTTTTTGGTGGATATGAATGGTATATTCATGGCTAATCCCATTCAGAAATCCCATGAAAACTACCCTTTTTATATCCACGATATGCAGTTCACTTTATAGAGGAGATTAGCCAACAAAATCAACATGATGTGCGGGGACTAAGGTGTCGTTGCAGCAAGGACGTCGCTGCAGATTCTGCTGATGTTCTTGGCACGTGGAGCCGCTTTGGCTGGAAGAAACTGGAGGATTCACAACTAGATTTATAACATCCGAAGTCTCTAGGATGAAGGTTTTTCGAAGTAATTATGTTTATGATTTTGATACGTTTCAGATATGATTAGCAATGTTCATCGGGATTTATATGATGGACTTGAATTGTTTTTAATGGCTTTAACGTTTTTATTTGCCCTGTGCAGGTTATGACTAAGCGTTTGCTATGGAAGCCATGGCCCATTTGTGCAAGAGAAACATGATGATTTTCCTTTTAAATTTGGTGATTGTCCATAGTACCTTATCGGACATTTGTATATCAGTATATATATATACATCATCTGTATATTAAATGTATCTATACATAAAGCACATAATATAATCATGGGGATTTCCCAAAATGGGGGTTCCCCACATCAAAAAAAAATTGGATCATTTTTCTATTGGAACATGGACATCCAATGGCTTTAAGGTAGCTTTTTCTGGGAAATACCCACATTGTCTATCAACAAATGGGGATTCAGATGTGGAACATGAACAAGACATTGGGATATTTACCCTCTGGTAAACTAACATAGCCATGGAAAATCAACATTTTTAATGGAAAACTCACTATAAATGGTCATTTCAATAGCTATGTTAAATTACCAGAGGGTATATATAACTACAATTCTGGTTGAATTCAGAAAACTTGGGAGGGTTGAAATCACACTTATTTTTTGGACCAAAAAATGGGTGTGTTTAATGTTGAGGGGCTAGGATTGTCCTGCCTTTGGATCGCAACATCTGGATATACATAAGCCTTACCCTCTGGTAAACTAACATAACTATGGAAAATCACCATGTTCAATGGGTAAATCAACTATAAATAGCCATTTTCAATAGCTATGTAACAAATTACCAGAGGGTAAAGTGTGTCACTTTGCTATGGAAAATGATGATCAACCATTGACCATGCGATTTTTCAGGGTCCCTGTAATTTTTTTCACCGGCGCCATGTAAAATTCAGTGGGATAGCCTATATGATGACTAAGCTTGATGGGTGCATGATTAGGTTGGGATTAGGGATACGGATGATACCTGAGTTGAAGTTGTACCTCACTGCAATTGCTTTATGGCAGGGGTTGGCCACTTGGAAGATTACCCCACTTAGTAAACGGTGAGTAGCCATAGTTAGAACATGTTGGCGTGCAATTTTTTAATGGATAGCCTCACTAGCAAGTGGGACGGATCTTACACGCAGTAACTTTCCCATTGGCTTGTCCAGCATTTGGAGAATCTACCAGGAATCTTGTGGGCTTTGTTTTTTGTTATCCCCTCAAAATCCCAAAGTGAGGGCCCCTCTGGTCAACGTTTACATAACGAACTGGAAAACCACCATGCTATTAATAGGGAAATCAACTATATATTTCGACTGGGCCACTTTCCATAGCTACGTTCAATTACCAGAGGGTAAATCCCATTACATCCCATTAAATCACCATAAATTACCATTAAAATCACCATTAAAATCACCATAAATTACCATCAAAATTCATAAAAATCCATTATTACCTCCATAAAAACCCATTAAATCACCATAAATCACCATAAAACACCATAAAAATCCATTATTATCTCCATTAGATGGGTTCTCCATGGAAGGGTCCGGAGCACGGCCGCTGGGAACCGCTGGGAACCGCGTCGGTTCAACCGAGGACGTGGTGTGTCGTTGTGGCCTTGCCTGGGTGGGCGGCCCCATTTCAATGGGGTGCCTGCCTGTTGAGGTATTCCCACAAGATGGTGATATATGTAATTATATGTATATATATACACATGTAATTATAATATATATATATATATGTATATATATATATGTATGTATGTATGTATGTAATGTAATGTAATGTAATGTAATGTAAATGCGAAGTTAATCACACTGGTAGCTCCACAACCTGATCTCGCAAGAGGCCTTTTTCCCCAAGCGAAAGGCCACAAAGTTCCAAGCGGAAAGACACTGCCGGTGTCCAAAGCAAAATGGGCGCCTCGCCCAATCCAGCGTCCTCGCTGATGTAGCTATGGCTATCAAGCAAAATGTCCCACCCGCCACGATACCTCTGAAGGGGCCTTTGAGCCTTCGTTTGCTGAAGATGGAACAACCTGTGATGTTTGGAATTGCCCGGGAAGCTGGTTTGGCATATGCTGAGACTCGCAAAGGTCGGCAAAGAAGAAACACCTTGCAATGCTATACATTTCACACTCCCAAAAAATTCTATAAAGTTTCAAAACTTAGAGATCGAGAAGTGTTCTGGGCATTGCAGGTGTTCATATCACCGTGGGAACGGAGCCATTTCAGGCGGGTTCGAGAGTCCGACCTAGCTTTCAATATCTCAAGTTCATCATTTAACCGGTACTTTCCACTTTCAAGTGTTTCACGCAGAAAACTGTTCTCCATGATCTTCGTTAACCCATCAGCTAGCTGGGCTCCGGAGTGAACCCATCGGAGATTCACATTTTCGGCCAGGAGATCTTTGATATATCTCGCGTTCACCTGGGTTCTGAACTCACTGCATGATGGTGGGGCAGTTCGGCTCACCAAATCGAACAAGCTTTTGCAGTCTGTGGCCACAGTGTCTTCAGGCAACATTTGAGCTTGACAGTGGCAGTCGAGTATGATTCTGGTAAGCCTTGGAGAGTTCTTTCGGGTTTCTGCCATCTTACACTTGAGTCCAACATCCATGCCCAACAGAGTCTGATCCATGAAAGCTGATCCAAAACTGAGCTGAGTGACACTGTTTCGGCCGCTAAAGTACTGGTTACAACCCTTTGGATTTTCTTGCAACCCCAGGACATCGGATTTACTGGACAAGTGGTGTTTCTGGAGATATCTTTATGAGTACTCATGATTATACAACCAGTGTGGGAATCCGGATTCTTTTTGGATGCAAACGATGCATCAGAGAATGCAAGGAACCGCAGGTCTTGGCAGGCTATGGGTTGTATGTGAATTGACACTTGAGAATGACGTTTGGCTTCATGTAAGGTTTTGTTTGCATTCATGAGGGTTTCAACAGTGGCTTGGTTAATGTCTGATTGCAGGAAGCTTAGCCTACTTGCCAAGTCTGGTCTGGTGTGAACGGATGCATATTGGAGGCTTCCGATAAGACCTCTCAAGGCCATCTTTTCCTCTGGTGTCACCGGGAGAGTCTCATCCCTTCTACGTTCGGGTGTGATCTTGATTGGTGCAATTTTCTTGATATATTCGGTTTGGGAAAGTGTAATGCTCTTGTTTGGATGTTGAAACATTTCAATTCCAGTGAAGGTAAAGTTGCCAACCTTTTGGGATCCGAAGGGATATACTTTCTCCAATTGTTGAAGCTTGAGCATGAATCTTTCATTCCCCCCGCATAGACCATCATCCACATGAACACCCAAGATTCCATCTGGTTCTCTGGTCTTGGGATTTCTCAAGATAAAGGTACACGGACAAAATGGTGACTGTTCAAACTCTAACTTCAGGAGTTCTTCGCGGAGGGCTTGAAACCAGAGATATGGCGCATCGATGAGACCGTAAGCGCTCTTTGTTAAGCGGCAAATCTCATCAGGTCTAAGGTTCATTTTGGCTGCAAGTTCGGGCACAGGTGCAAGTCCTAGGACTCTTCCTTCCTGAGGCTTTCCTTGTAAAAATGCTGCACGAATGTCAAATGATCTCAAATCCCATGACTTGGAGGCAATTAACTGAAGTAGCAACATTTTGGAATGGCGATTTAAGGTAGGAGAATCCCTTGGTATTTCAGTGATTTGGGGATCAAGATAACCCAACACGACAAGTCTGGCCTTGGCCTTTCGAGCATTGTTGGTTTTGTTGGGGTCTCTATCCGCCTCATCCACAGGTTTCCAGGTTAAGATCCAACGGCATCGAAGAATCTGTTCAGGAGCAATTTGGTTTCGGAACATTTTCTGAACTGTGCCTGTCTTCAACCAATTGGAAACCTCGGCATCCTTAGCAGCAGCAAATTCCGCACGTTCGGATGCAGAGAGCTCTGTCAATTTGACTTCTGCTCTTTGTCGCTTTGCCGCAGACACTAAAAATGCCATCTCGCCCGGCGATTCGGATTGTCGCCACGACTGAATATCAGCTTCGCTGACAAGAACTTCACTTTTCCATGAGAAACCTTCACCAAGGTCTTCCAGTGCATTTTGATCTATATCTTGACAGTACAATCCTTCACAAACTAAGTCATCATCATCCTCATCGGGGATAGGGATTTCTTCAGGTTTATCGGGAATTGGTACTTCATCTGAACCCCTTGTAGGACCCTCTTCAGATGGGGTAGCTGGGGCATCTGGTTCTTGATCTGGTTGATCTTCAATGCCTGAGCTGGATGACAGCGGTACAGGATTCTGGCTTGGTTCGATATGAGTTCCGTCCGGTTGGACAGCTGATGATTCTGGAAAGCTGGAGCTATCTACATTCACAAGCCTGGTTATGCTTCCTGTGGTTTCACGCGGAAGCTGTTTGGCAATTTCGGAGATGTTTGGTTCATCAGGGGTCCAAACAATGCCTTTGGCTTCCTTTGAGGTCACTGGCCTAACATGTTCAGGGGCACTGCGAAACAACTTGCTGGACATCGTCACCCAAATGGTCTGTTGATTTTCATGAACAACTACCTTCATGGGGCCTTGCCAATATCCCGATTGTTGACCGGTGCCTTCGCGCCAAGACATGACCCATTCACCAGGCTGATAAAATCCTCGGTGAGGATTTGACCGGCGTAGTAAAGCTCGTCGCAGTGATGAATCGTTGTCAGCACTATGAAAGGCTCTTCGAGCCGTCTCCCTCATTGCAAGCTGAGATCGAAATTTCAACCCTTGAGCATGTTCAGATTCTGCAAGCAAGTGTGCTGGCAAGAGAGTATCACTGCTGACTGAACCTGGCAGGCGTGTGTGCTTTCCTAACACCAGCACTTCCGGTGCATAACCACCTTTAAGGCTGCAGGCGTTTTTCGCTTGAACACACCACCACAGTGCTTTCTGCAAATCTGAATAGCTTGTGACTTCATGCTCAGTGTTGAATTTTGACAGCATACTTTGTAGGATGGCTCCATGTCTTTCTGATCTTCCATTCTGAAAGTGAGCTTCAGGACTTATAGTTGTACCCTTGATGTTGTGTCCCTGCAAAAACTCCATGAAACTCTCGCTATTGAACTCGGATCCGGCATCCACTAAGATTTCACCTGGAACACCAGCCCATGACAACCACATGCTGGTGAAGGCCTTGATAAAGTCCTCCGTAGATCTTGATGGGGCAATGCTGGCAACTTGAAAGTTTGTTCCCCAATCCAAGACATGGTACATATGGAATGTTTGACCCTTGGTGTTCGTCCATGTGAAACCATCCACAGAAATTCGGTCATTAAACTCCAAGTCATCCCTGAGTGTGCTCGGGCGAGCATGCTTGGGCTGGGAATTTTGGATACAGACATCACATTTGAAATGTCTGGCCGCACGGATCATCTCTGGCTTGTATCCCTGTTTCAGAAGCATGGTGCTCAACCTCTCAGGATTGGGATGACCGAGATTCTTATGGATCTTCTGTAGAAGTGCTTGGTCCTCTTTGGAGAGATTCTGCATGGATTCATGTGGCATGTTATCTTTTGACATGTCAGGTAAGGTTACGTTATCGGGTGGACTAGGGAAATTGATGGGGTGGTTATGTGAAGCAACGTTATCATGGGGTTTATCATGGTTAATTTTCATATTGGTTCTTGAATCCGGTGAGGACACAAGGTCGGTCTGATCTGCCGGAAACGGTCCGGACTGCAGCTGCTCATTCGAGCTCGGCTGTGGCATGGGAACTGGGCTTGGGAAATCGGTTGATTCCACTTCATGGTGATTCTCTCCAGGCAAACTAGCAAACACCGTTATATTGAGGCGGCTGGCATGCGATGGGCGAACTCTCTGGCGTTTGGCTAATTCTTCCCAGTTCTCCCACTGATCCTCTACAAAAATGCGATTGGTTCCCCTTTTTAGATATGCACATTTTCTAAACGGTGCTTCTTGTGGAGCAATCTCATTGATGGGGGCAATGGTACGGCTGGAACCTCTACAACCAATGGCAAACTTGATGATCATGTCAGGCAAGAGTCTTTGCAGTTCTTGAAGCAAACTGGGTTCCCTGATTTCCTTCTTTCCTACTCTGGGCAACATTTGATCTATTATGTCAAATACTTTGGTCCAGGCGTCAAGGGCATTTTGGCATGTTTGTTTTCCATCGAGCTTGCGCCTCTTCAAAGGCATGTCAGCGGTCATTTCCGATGACCTGGAAAGCTCCGGCTTTGCTTGGACGAACAATCTGCGTCGCTTCATGGCAGGTTCATTCACCAACGCAGGAGACTCTCCAACAAACATGCATAAGGCAATTGGTCTTTCTTTGGGATAAACAAACTTGCACAACACCTTGGCCATGTCTCGGGCAAACTTCCGGGGATATGCTTCAGAGTAAGTTGATCGATTCATCCTTTGGTCATGGACCATCGTGGACCCTTCTATGACTTGATGGTCATGGTTTCCCGAGCATCTTTTGTTGTGTAAACTTTGGATCACCCTCTTTGAAGTGGACAGCACGGTCATTCCCTTCTTTATGGGTTTCTTGTTTTCGGGGTCTTGAAGGTTACCTGCAGTACACATGTCAAAATCCACGGCCATGGTATATTGATGTACCTCCTGCAGGTATGGCAACTTGAACATCAGTGATGCCTGGGACTGTTCCCAGTGCAGGTGGTGGTTGACACCTCGCTGATGCCTGAGAAGCACAAGACCCAAAGCGATCTGTTCCACATGTTTCAAACGCGACTCTTGCAGATTGTCCCATGCTTGGAGAGATTTGCTACCATTTAGTGTGGACCATCCTGACCATGGTCCGCAGGATGGAGAAAACCACAGGTGCTCAGGCTTTCTGGCAGCAACTGTTTGAAACAAAAGCTTTCGACCGTCGGCTTGTTGCAAATCACATTGAGCAAGGCCTAATCTTTCTGCTTTACATCCGAGTTGCTGCACTTGATGCGTGAGCTGGCTTTGTGGACCGCAAAAGACTTCCAGCAAGGTCAATTGGCCTTTGGATCGCAGCTTCGGACAGGGCTCTGCTATGGCAAGCTGCAACTCTTTGGAGTATTGATTGACCAAAGCAACAAAGCGCTGGCGTTCTTGGCATGACTGCTTAGCAAGATGATCCATGTTTGGACAATCATGACATGTTTCTCCAGCAGCCATGAGTCCTGACATTTCAGCATACTCAGCATCTACTGTTCTACGCTGCTGGCATGGTTCACTTGACCTTGTCCACTGGCCATCATCTCCAGGTGGTGAAGGATCGAGTGGATAGCACCTTCCATTTGTTGCATTCGATTTTCCAGCTGTGGCGGGATCTCTGGGGCTTCGATTGGGGCTGATGCTTGGCTGGTCACATCCCACACTGACATCTCGTCCACCTCCGGCAGGAACCATGGTGCAGCCTTGGCTTTGGGAAGAAGACCCGGGTAAGGCTTCCCAGACTCCATGGAACTGGTTCCCTTTGTCACCTGAGGCTGTGCTTCGGTGACCGGGATGGTCTGACCCTCCAGCTCTGCCCGCTCGATGCGAAGCTCGATGTATTTGATCATGGTGCGATGAACTCCCTTGGTGCTGGTGTGGTAGTGCTTCAAAAACCAGGCTATCCATTGTTGATCGCTGGACCACACGTCCAGGAACGTGTGTCCCATGTGCTTGGTCCCGAATTCCACTTTCATCTGATCCATCTGTTCCAGTGAAAACTTCGTCAAATCTGGCAGTTCTTCTGGCTGGGGCACTTGCAGCTTCTTCAGGCGGTCGATCAATGACGGCATGGGAAACACTGGACGGAGACTGGAAATGGACACGGGGCACGACCTTCACTTGAGACGATGACTGCACATGGACTTGGCTTTCTGTTAAACTACTTGGCATAGGTTCGGACATGTTGCAACTGGCATTCTCGGCTGATTCCTGTTGAGGCTGTTTGACCAAACCTGAAATTTCTGGGATTTTCACAGATCCGGAGTCTTCCTGGCTTTCTTTTGGCTGCGGCGTCTCGGCCAGGTGAGTTTCAGCAAGGCTGGCTCTTTCCGGTCTGTTGACCGTTGAGTCAGCCAAGTCATTCAGGTCTATCAAAAACAAACCCTTGGGAGTCAGTTGCAACGGATATTCACACTGGTATTTCTTTGACCACATCACATGTTTTTCCACATCAATCACTGCTTGATACGCACGTAACAAGGTGTTGGAGATGAGAAAAGGAGTTGACCCTGGGACAATGGCTATTTTGAGCAACATATCCTTCAAGGGAACTACCAGTGCCTGCTGACTTTGTAGGGTGCCATGGTTTCCGAAACGAAAAGTCACTTGACATGTGCAACGTGTCAACTTCTTTTGAACAGCTGGTTTCAAGTTACTGATCAATTCGGCTACTAAGTCACTTCCAATGACAGTCTTTGTGGCACCCAAATCTACTACACCCAGGCTACTGTGCGTGGCAAACAGCAAGGGTTCCTCAGCAATTGGCTCGCGGTTCACTTCACAGGCATGTTCATTCCTCACACGTGGCAACAAGCGTGAGGTGAACACAGGATTTCTTACCCGAACATTATTAAGGGAATTCCTTAATTTACCCCTGAAATCCTCTTGGCCTAACAAACTGAAAACACTTACTTCACACTGAGGCTCATCTATTGGGCAGGCATCATTCACAGGGATCTGCAGGAACTCCATGGGCAGTGTGGCATCAGTGCTCACGAACGTGGTGGGAGCGGATGTACTTTGCTGAGATGCACGGCTGCTTCTCTCTGGGCATTCTGCTTTCCAGTGACCTACTTTATTGCATAGGCGACAACGAGATGACAAAATTCGTTGTTCCAGTGACTTCCTAGATGACGAATGTCCCTTGTGGAACTTCCCTTTTCCACGACCCTTGAAAGGACCTTTGGATTTTCCACTGCTCGACACTGGCCAGAAACCACGAAAACGAAACTTCTCACTCAGTCGACGCCTTGCCTCTGTGTAGGTATTGAACGCTGCGGCAAGATCTTCATCATTTTGAATCACCTCTGAAACTGCGGTTTCATAGCCTGACACGAAAATCGCATCAGTGTCCCCTTCACTGACAAGGGACTCCATCATTTCATCCTCTCCCACAGTTTCACCTTCTGCAGCATAGATCTCATCGTTCACATCCTCATCATGATCGGCCGTTTCGGCAAGCAAAGTGGCCTGATCGTAAGTTTTCAACTTCCCTCGCTTCACACCTGTCATGTCTTGGAAGAATCCTGCTCCCAACATCCTGATTGCACTGCTCACCCTTTGTACAGAAAGGTCACCAGACCCAGCAGCATCAGCATCCACAAGGACTTTCTTTTTGTCATCCGCGCTCAGAGTTGACCCTCGAAGAGTCACATAGGCCTGAAGGTCTGACAACTTGAGGTCCTTGCTATTCAGTTCTGTCCACATGATATCTGCACGGGCTAGGAAAGAGTCGGCTGACTCATCCGGTTTCTGCACACACTTGTATAGAGCTCGTTCTGCATGCTCATACTTCTTTTCTAGTCCAATTTGACCCCAATGGCCACCAAGGATTTCAATCAAGCGTTTCACTGACTTGCGCTCATTTTCCATGAGCTCAACTTGATGCAGCTGCAGCTTCATGAATGCGGACCCTGTGCAATTCAGAATCAAACGTGTTGTAAGTTCTGTATATTTTCCAGACGGCCAGGCATCAAGCAGCAACATGACTTTCTGTGAGTACACCTGCAAATCGTCCTTGGACGGATCAAATGTAGGCACCAGCGACGCAATCTGATTCGGCACCATGTTTGTGCCATCACCACCTGATGTAGAGGAAACTCCATCACCTGACATGGTGATCCAGCTGTTGCAAAGGCGCCCTGGATTTCCCGCACTTTCGGCAGCGGGGCTCCGCTACCAATGCGAAGTTAATCACACTGGTAGCTCCACAACCTGATCTCGCAAGAGGCCTTTTTCCCCAAGCGAAAGGCCACAAAGTTCCAAGCGGAAAGACACTGCCGGTGTCCAAAGCAAAATGGGCGCCTCGCCCAATCCAGCGTCCTCGCTGATGTAGCTATGGCTATCAAGCAAAATGTCCCACCCGCCACGATACCTCTGAAGGGGCCTTTGAGCCTTCGTTTGCTGAAGATGGAACAACCTGTGATGTTTGGAATTGCCCGGGAAGCTGGTTTGGCATATGCTGAGACTCGCAAAGGTCGGCAAAGAAGAAACACCTTGCAATGCTATACATTTCACAATATGTATATATATATATATGTATGTATGTATGTATGTAATGTAATGTAATGTAATGTAATGTAATGTAATGTAATGTAATGTAATGTAATGTAATGTATGTATGGTATGTATGGTATGTATGTATGTATGTAATGTAATGTAATGTAATGTAATGTAATGTATGTATGTATGTATGCATGCATGCATGCATGCATGTATGTATGTATGTATGCATGCATGCATGCATGTATGTATGTATGTATGTATGTATAGATCTACATATGTACATTATGTACATATTAAATCTGTAATTATATGTATAGACAAATATCTACATACAAACTACATATCCTATGTGGTTTCCTTCATAAAACTGCAGGGTCTTGTGGTGCCACTAAGGGTCGACAGAAGGAGATGCTCCTTGGCATGATCATCTTTGGGCTTCTAGGTGCCATCTCCAGTTCAGTGGATCCCGGGGAAAGCATGAACTCTTCAATATAAGGTGGTGCCCCCCAAGTTATAAATGGGTTAAAAAAAACCCATTACCCTCTGGTAAACTAACATAGCTATGGAAAATCACCATTTTTGATGGGAAAACTCACTATAAATGGCCATTTTCAATAGCTATGTTAAATTACCAGAGGGTAACTATAGATATATCACCAACAAAAACCATAGTTATTGGACTTATTTGCACCAACTTAGCTATACTTAGCTAACGAACTGGGGCATCACCCTGTACCTTCATGAATGAGCAGAAGATCAATGGCCATGCTGGCCAGACACCCATTGATTGAAGGTACTTAGTAAATTTTTCTAAGGCCAATTTTTTAGGCCTATGTAAGAGAATATCCCCAGAAAATATGGTCTTATATGGTGCTAACGTACCTCCATTTTAGGATCCTGAAGATATCCCATTGAGAAGAAAGGGATTGAACTCCGAGTTTTGACAACTTGAACGCAGACCCGGCAGAATCGGATGTGTGACGTCCATATTCCAGTGATGTTTTCCATGTTTATGAAGATGTCTGGAATCATTGGATTCCTGATACAAATCAGCGCAGACCTGGTAGAATCATCCAAATCCATGTTTGACACCAGGCGCACATACCATCTGGTTATGACTAACATAGCCAACTGGAAAATCCCTGAACTAAATGGAGGTTTATATATAGCTGGGAAAATCATCTAGAAATGGGCCATCTATACCATAAATGGAGGTGTTCATGGGAAAATCATCTATTTCTATAGGCCATCTATACCATGGCTATGTTAGTCATAACCAGAGGCTATTTGGTCCTAGCCGCTCGCACCGGTCCCTTGCACCGCTCCGCCGATGGAGGCCTTGCACTGGAGTTCTGGGGTGATCGCGAAGCTGCTGGCAGCCCGTCGGGAAGTCCCAGAAAAAAAATCGCTCTGAGGTGGGTGCTGCGGTGGGGAATAGCTCAAAATTGTCCCGACATGTCCCAAAATTTGATGATGGGAAAATTTGAAGTACTGTAGATTTTCAGAAAGATTCCGGAGGGAATTGTGGAAAATTGATCTGCTTCCGGTCGTTTGATAAGAACAAAATGCATGAGTTTGGAAACAACGACGGGATACACCATTGGCATGTCCAAAACAGGCCCTCAAACTCCCGAACCACGTGTGTTTTATCTTCAAGCACATCTCTGGAAATATGAGGTCTCTGGACGCTTCTTTTCTATAGAGACACAGCGACATACCCATCAAAAACATGGTACCAAAACACTCATACCATTGATGATCCTTGAACCCCACAGGGTTGTAAATCCTCCTTACCTAGGGTTGTCTAAATATCATATCTTCGATATCCAAAAAGGTCAAATTTTAGCTGCTCAGTCGGCTTTTTCCCATGGCGACATCAACAAATATCTACCCGACCAAAAAGGGTTCAGTTCATGGCACTGGAAAATCCCCAAGTTCCCAAGGATGATTTTCCCATTACAAGGTGGTGCCCCAGTTCGTTAGCTAAGTTGGTGCAAATAAGTCCTAGGTATATCTATAGTTAATGGGATTATAACCCATTTACAACTTGGGGGGGCACCACTTCCCATTAACACCTTCGTGAAAGTCCGGGCATTTCCCCGTTGCCATGTTCGATGGCCTCAGGATCGAATACATGTACGATACCAGGCATCGAACGGTTCGGATCAAACTGGAGAAGGATTCCCCTAGGACGGAATATCAAAGAATATCAAACTGGGTAAATTATAACGACCTCACTGCGACCTCACTGGAATCATGGGTTAGTAAGGGAAATTATCCCCAAATGGCCTTAATTCAGGTTAGTGAAATATTATTATAATTTACCCAGATGATTGTGATGATGTATCTGATGATGTGATGATTTTTACATATTTTTACCACACTGGAAAATACGATGTATCTGACGATGTGATGATTTTTACCACACTTTCGATTTCCCCGTGTTTTTTTCTGGGTTTTGCTCAGTGGGTGATCACGTCTCAATTTGGACTTCTTTTCCAGGCCTTGAATTACAGGATGGAGCCCCCTAGTTAGAAGTTGGTTTATAACACCATCTAAATATAGTTATAAGTATCATACACTATTGTTATTATAGTTATGTTCACCAACTTAGCTCAAAATGAGTGGCAACCCTAGGATCATCCGGAAAGTCATAATCTTTTTTGTAGCTGGGAGCCCCATCCGACATAGAAAATTATACATCCCAGTGGTGGGTCTTCACCAAGCCTGGTATTTCTTCATTTTTTCTGGGTCATTTACCCTCTGGTAAACTAACGTAACTATGGAACATCACCATTTTTAATGGATAAATCCACTATAAATGGCAATTTTCAATAGCTATGTTATTTTACCAGAGGGTAAGGGAATGGCAAATCCTGTCACAAATGGTTTGTGGGTTAGCCAATTATCGGAAAATCTGCAGGCCACCCCAAGAAAAAATTAAGGGCAACAATGCATGCCGGTTTACTGTAGATTTCCCTTAAACAAATCCATTAACAACTATCTACACATGTACATCCATATACATCCATATACATCCATATACATCTATATACATCTATATACATACATACATTACATTACATTACATTACATTACATTACATACCATACATCCATATACATCCATATACATCCATATACATCTATATACATCTATATACATCTATATACATCTATATACATCTATATACATCTATATACATCTATATACATCTATATACATCTATATACATCTATATACATCTATATACATCTATATACATCTATATACATCTACATCTATATACATCTATATACATCTATATACATCTATATACATCTATATACATCTATATACATCTATATACATCTATATACATCTATATACATACTACATACATACATACATACATACATACATACATATACATACATACATACATATATACATACATACTATATACATACTATACATACTATATACATATACATATACATACATACATACATACTACATACATACATACATACATACATACATACATACATACATACATACATACATACATACATACATACATACATACATACATACATACATACATACATACATACATACATACATACATACATAATACATACATACATACATACATACATACATACATACATACATACATACATACATACATACATACATACACAGACATACATACATACATATATATATATATACACATCTATATGTACATGTATACATATGGGATTGGAACGGTCAACGGATTATGTTTATAGTCATTCATAGTCATTGATTATATTTACTCATGTTTACTCATTGATTATCTTTAGATGCCCACCATATACGTCCATATGTGCCGCCAGAAGTTGGATTGTCCCATAAAAGGAGATGGTCATCAGTCCATGTTCATAGAGATTTATCGCCATTTTGTTTGGATTCCCATTGAATGGGATGGATGATGGATGATTATATAAACGACCATCTTTTGACCATGGCACACACATATATGTAATTATATATAGAGATTTTCATACGTGATTAGACAGACATTATTCCATGATATCACCACGGAATATCCTCATGTTTTTTTTTCTAGGTCTGTCATGGAGAAATCTTCCATTCCCCAGTTTTTAGCCAGGCCTGGTGTGGCGCTGATTGCCATCGAAGTGCTCTGGTTCTATGTGCCCTGGCGCGGACTGCTCCGTGGATTGGTCGTGAATCTTTTGGGAGATTAAAAACGACGTGGGAATGATGGGCTCGCTACGTCAGTGTAAATAACTGCAACAACCTTTGGGTTGATTACCCTCTGGTAAACATACAAAAAACTATGGAAAATCATCATTTTCAGTGGGTAAATCTGTGTAAATCCACTATTTCTATGGCAATTTTCAATAGCTATGTAACAAATTACCAGAGGCTATGGGATTATATCGAACTATATAGTTAAGGGGGATCATAAATCAACCTACTGCAAGGTGACACCACCCTTGGGGCCTTTTCTCAACTGTAGCTTGGATCAACCAGCGGTTTCTCCCATCATCTAACATAGATGGATATGGATATAGAATGATATAGATATGGATGGATATACTATGATATATTAGAGGTAGTGTTATACATCAACAATCAAAAACATTGTACATAATATAGTATGTAATATTGTGATATATCTGAAATAGACATCATCCCAATGTGGTTGGGGTGGCGTTTCCGCGGGTTTTTGATCATCCCAATCTTTTGGCTGAGGCCTTCGTCTCCCGGCGCCTTGGCAACTCCAAAAACCCCGGCTGCAAGTGGTTGCTTCAAGGTTTCAATGGATTGGTTTAAGGGAAAATCTGCAGGAAAACCTCAGATTTTATGGGGAAAATCTATGGTTTCCGGTTAAATTTTTTCCCCTAAAGCAATCCAATCAAGGTTGAAATGAGGAATTAAAGTATCTGAGATTCAGGAAACATGAGCCTTTTTCGGTAACTATGCCAGAAAACGACAAAACATGGCCGAAATCCCTCGCTGGTTCATTTCAATGGGGTGATACCGGCCGAAAAAGCATGAGAATGTTCACGAGTGGCAGCCTGGTAGCCCGGCGACTTTTTTCAAAGGGTTGACCCAAGGACTCAATATTTACAGTGTGAGCCTGGAAAGGTTCCCATTCCGCTTCTTGGGCTGGCTTGAATTTGCTGGGGCTTTCCTAAGTCATGCGGGATCCCCAGTCACCATGGGTTTCAAGACTAACGTGGCCTCAATACCAACATGGTCATACATGGTCTAATTTTGGATGATTCGGGGTAGCACTATTTTAGGAAAGCTCCATTTCACCATTTGGAACCTCCAAACGCAACTGCTTGAACTGCTTGATGAAACGAGCAGTTGATCATCGGGTAGCACAACCCCAACATTTGGTGGTTATACCAACCGCAATATTTGCTGCTTCACCCAAATTTGTGCGGTCCATCCATGTCCAACTCACCATTTCTCACTTTAGTATGCCCTGCTACTATATCTGGTTGGTGGTTTGGAACCATGGAATTTTATGACTGTCCATGAAACAGTTGGGAATTTCATCATCCCAACTGTTACTCACTCCATCATTTTTCAGAGGGGTTGGTTGAAACCACCAACCAGTTCAGATCCTAACTCTTGCTTGTGGTTCACATGGGCCCATGGTTTTCTCCGTGTATAAACATGTCAAACCCTGGGAAAGTACCATCATTGGTTCTCAATTTTTTCCTCAAGATTTGCGACCAGGTTTCCCCTCATAGATGATGCCATCCTGGCGCCATGATTTCATCAAATTCGGCTCTTGGATGTGGATAATCTTGACTCATTGACTCAGCATGGCTTTCTTTTTAGCCCGAAAATAGCCTCTGGTAATTTGTTACATAGCTATTGAACATGGCCCAGTCGAAATAGTTGATTTACCCAGCTACAACATGGTAGTTTTCCATAGTTATGTAAACGTTTACCAGAGGGTAAGAGTTTGACATAGGGAATACGATGACAAGGCGCTACCGGAGTTTTGGGTCGGGTACGCAGAAAAAAAAACCATGCTATGTGATTGCGGATTTACCCAAAGTCGCCACAAACATGTGGGTCTAGGTCAAAATTATTGACCCCCAACATGATTGCTTCAGCAGAAAATGGTGGGTGGATTGGCACCCCATTCTTTAATCGCATACCCATTTTTTGCATAGCTGTACACAATGACCTAAAAGCACGACGTACGAAACATCGCCACACTTGTCAGCTTCATTTGTTTTCTGGCGATTTGTTTCTCCAGGTTTCACCAACAAAGAGAATAGAAGATCAAGCATTACCCTCTGGTAAACTAACATAGCTATTGAACATGGCCATTTCTCGTGGATTTACCCATTTAAAATGGTGATTTTCCATAGTTTTTTGTATGTTTACCAGAGGGTAGATCATTTCCCATGGGGAAACCATGGGATTTTCCATTTCGCTACTGGGTAGCCAGTAAGACTCCCATCCTCATAGGATTGGATAAGCCCCAAATCACCGACCGCTTCAGATTTGTGTTATTAGTAGAAACTATACGATAGCGACATGTCTATCATTCACGAATCTGAAGTAATGTGGGTAAAACAATGTCATTTTTAGGGAATGGTAACCATACCACCTATAAACATGGTGATTTTTTCTGGGGGATGGTGCGTTTATGGCATTGTTTTACCCACATTACCCTCTGGTAATTTGTTACATAGCTATTGAAAATGGCCCAGTCGAAATACTTGATTTACCCAGCTACAACATGGTGGTTTTCCATAGTTTGTTGTAAACGTTTACCAGAGGGTAGCAACGAATCCACTATCATAAATCAGCTATAAATCCCATTGAAACCCCATTTTTGTTGGTTAAATCACCATTTTCCTATGGGTTTTCCTATGGTTATCATCCAATGGACATGTCCACGTCAGCGAACTTGTCATATCCGAGGTCCTATGAAACCTGGTCCAATGAGACCCGTTTGCGACCGCGGCTCTTCTACAGGCGAATTAACGCGACCGGTCTTCTGGAGTTGATTTCAAGAGCCGCCAGGAACTGTGGATGCTACACACATATAAATTAATGGTTAATATATATATATATATAGTACATCTATATGGTCCAGCGTTCCAACCCCCTTCCCCCCACGGCCATGGTCATGGGTCAGCCATAGTACTGTCCCCCTCCTGTGGTGTGGTGGGGGTGTGGTACTGTATGGATGGTAGGTATGGCATGTAAGTCTGTTGGGTATGGTATGTTTGATATGACAGTATGTATGGTTTGTATGGTATGTATGGTTACTATTATGGGTATGGAATGTTTGCTATGTAAGGTAGGTATGGTATGTATGGCATGTATGTTTGGTATTGTATGTATGGAGGTGTGGTAATTATGTTTCATATGTATGGTATTTGTGGTATGCATGATAGGTATGATAGGTATGGTATGTATGATCAAAGTTAGTATGGTATGTATGGTATGTATGGTATCATTGGAATGTATAGTAGGTACGGTATATGTTAAACACATGTAGTGTTGTGAGAGTACACAGGTAGTAAATAGGAAGTAGATACATAGCACATGTATATATGCCTATAGGTAGCACGTAGGTACTTTGAGGGAGTATGTGTGCTACGTAGGTCGTCTAGAGGGTAGCATGTACCTAGTAAATGCGAGGCTGGTAGTCAGAAATGCTGCAAAGACCTAGCAAATACGAGGCTGGACCTCAGAAATGCTGCCAATAGCTTGCAAATAGAAGGGAAGGGGGTGCTACCTGGGGACCCATACCATTGGGGGGGGTGTGGGGGGTAGGAACACGGAGCACGAGACCATATATATATATAAATTATATATATATATTAATTATATATATATTAATTATATATATATATTAATTATATATATATTAATTATATATATATATATGTTAATTATATATATATATTAATTATATATATATATTTTAATTATATATATATATATTAATTATATATATATATATTACATATATATATATTTATACACATGTTTCACAGATTTATTGGTTTTCATACTTGGGATGAGTGGTTGAGATGATTCATCATTTTGTGATGAAATCGCCCACCAGATTATATACACATACACACGTCTACATCTAATTATATCTACATCTGCGTATACACGAATACGATTCCAATTGTTTGAAGATGTAGACTGTAGATACCATATACAAATACATTCCATATACCATATTCTACATATACATGTATATGCACAAAGACTTTCGTATACATGTATATGTTTCCAATTGTTTGAAGCAGGAGTTTTCGTTGAATTTCTAAGGCAATTTCCATGTATGGGTGATGATTAAATCTGCAGACTCCCCGAAAAAATTGTTGGCGAGTAAAAAATCACATCGTTTCCTGGAATTTCTGATCCACACCAAGCTTTTCTTTTTTTTGAAATTAAATTCCAGCTCCAAACAGAACTATGTTTTTTTCCCAGTTTTTGCATGGCTGGAAGTGTCAAACCTATCAGAATTTCCTCAAAGTAATAGTCAACATCGTACATACATACGTACCTACACACCTACACACCTACATACTTTACCTACAGACCTACATCCCTACATCAATACATACATACATACATACATACATACATACATACATACATACATACATACATACATACATACATACATACATACATACATACATACATACATACATACATACATACATACATACATACATACATACATACATACATACATACATACATACATACATACATACATACATACATACATACATACATACATACATCCGTACATCCCTGCATCCGTACATCCGTACATTCAGACATCCATACATCCTCTCACTTTCCATGATAGCCCCTTTAGATACCCATATTGTATCCCCATATCATGGTAATAACCAACCTGCTGGGCTTGAAACACGACAACTGAATGCCCGAAATAAAGGTTGCTAGATTGTTCTGTCGGGGTTCTAGAGGGACTACCTAGTCATAAAGGATTGCTATATGCCATTATGGGAACCCATCCCTAGTCCAGCACTTTTTAACTCTTCTTGGTTACTTCCAGCATGTGTTTCATCTGTACCTGGGATGATTTGCAGGTTGAAACCACCAACCAGAATTGGATTGTACCGCTATACCAATTATAATAGCTGATTGGTGGTTTGGAACATGAATTTTATGACTTTCCATTCAGTTGGGAATTTCATCATCCCAACTGACGAACTCCATCATTTTTCAGAGGGGTAGGTATACCACCAACCAGTAGAGACTGTACCCTCTGGTAAACGTTTACAAACAACTATGGAAAATCACCATGTTGTAGCTGGGTAAATCAACTGTTTCGGCTGGGCCATGTTCAATGTCGCAAACTGTTCGTTTACCAGAGGGTTATACAGGATGGGGGCACCCAGTTATAAGTTGGTTTATAAACCAATATAACCCCCATTAACTAGTTCGTTATATCTACCATAAACCATAGCTAAGCCACTTATAAGGCACCTCAGCAATCTTGGGGGCCCCATCCTGTACCATTATACCCATTTTTACCGCTTCAATCCTCAAGATTGTCGGTCGGATCCCCATGAGATTTGCCGCCACGAAATCCCCCACAAAAACCACCAGACGATACCCATGGGCAATTTCCGCCAGAAAAGTTATAAATAATTGACCAATGGAACATGTAGTCATATATGTTATATAACCATATATAACCATCTTTGGTTATATATGTATTTATTTACATATATATATATATATAATTATGTTATATATGGAACACGTGGTTAATGTGAATAAACTATGGTTAGTTCAACACCAAAACACACCAGAACTTTTCATCCGTTGCCATGGTCCTTCCCCAGCGCGCCCCTTCGCTGCGCCGCCGTCTCTTTCTGCGCTCCGCCTGTCCGCGCCCGGTCTGTCGCCGGTCGGGTGGAAGGGGCGGAACGCTGCGGGTGCAGCGGGCAGAGCTGCCCGGGAGGCTTGGGATTTTCCCTAAAATCTGATGGAAGGTGGGATTTGATTCCAGTTCGACATCTTTTGATGATTTTTGATGTTTTTTGTACTGTTTTTGACTGATGGTCTGTTGAGTACCCTCTGGTTGCAGGGAAATCAGCAATTTGAATAGTTCAATCATCGAACTAAACGGCTAATTTATCATAGCTCTGTCAAATTACTGGAGGTGGTTATTTCATTGGGGATTTCACATGGTTTTGGGTTTTACAGAACTCAAGAAATCGTGTTTTTTTTTGATAAAGGATGGTTGGCTAGCCGCTGGGTCTGACGCTATCTGGTCTATGGGGGATTATGAACCCGACCCATTGGAGCTCCGAAGTTTGCCCTCATATCATCCTTTTCCCTGGTTTTTCCTTGAGTCTAATTGTTGGTAGAAATGTTGGTCATCATTACACCAAATTGTCTAATTAGATATCTAATAGTGCACTACGTCCATGATGGTTGCGAAATCCTGCACCACCAAAAGGATGGTTGAAACCCCATGAATAATGGGTTGTTTACCACCGTTTTCAACTGGTGCAGGATTTCGCAACCATCCACCGTACGTCCATGATATTCCCAACTTTTCATTTGGTAGACCTTGGTTGAGCGGTTTGATCAAAACGGTGGCCATTCTGCGGATGCTGACCACCTCAAAGCCATAGCTATCTATCCGTGCGGGTCCAAAATTTGGAGCCGGGAGTTAAGATGAGGAGAATATGGTTGAAAATTGTACAGGATGGGGCCCCCCAGTTAACTATAGTTATATCTACCATAAACCATAGCTAAGCCACTTATAAGGCACCTTAGCTATCTTGGGGGCCCCATCCTGTACCATAATATCATGAATGTATGTGAAATGTCTACGTGATACTTTACATCAGTAGATATGGGTAAACTTTGGTGTACGGGGTTCATGTTAACCAAGCACCTTCAGGCCAGAAGTGGTGTTGCTGGTACGAAACTTTGCGGCGCATGTTGGGCACGACGCGGCTTTGAAATGGGCGAAGGATACCCTTTGGGGTGCCTAGAAGGAGAGATTGACTACTTGGGTTTGCCTGAAAATGTGGTATTTATCCGTCAATTGGGAACAATGAGAATAATCCATTGGAAGAAAACCAGGGGTACTATTTTCAGACAAACCCGCTTCTTTTTGTGGAAATCCAAGGTTTGAGTGTTTTTTTTCCCATGGAACCTGTTTTTAGAAGGCAGTAGACACGAAAGGCCTCTAGATTCTACCTGGGAATGTGGTTAAAAAGTCCATTCACCAAGAATTCACCCAGATCTTCCCCAGTAGGCACCCTGGTGTACCGAGGATATGATGAAAGCGCCGAGGATATGCAGTTCTTGACCCAGTGGAAACACTTGGACCTTTCCAAACTGGGCGACCTGCTTGGCTGCCGCGGCTGGGCGGAAGATTTGTGGCACAAAGTGGCTGCAGATGGTTTCGGACAGATGCGATGGTATGGTGTAGACAGGGAGACCACCAGGCATAGCGATGGCTTCGATGGTGGAGACGAGGTTGGGTTGCATTGGGGAAAATGGAGCTATAGTTAGCCATGTTTTTGTGGGGGGTGCGACAGATTAAAGTGTGATTTCGCTCATTTCTTAGGAGTTTCCCCTTTGAAAAGCTTCGTTGGATGATTGTGAGGTTTTTTTCGAATCTAGGGGATTGAAATCTTTTGCAAGAAGCCAACAGATGGGCCAGCTAATGTTGACCGTGTTGACCCGCCTTCAGAGACCAGATTTTTGACTTCTTCTTGGACCTACATTTGAGTGAATGAATACGAAGCTCCAAAGACTTGTCTAAATCTGATCAGCACTTGAAGGGATCCAGATTTCGGAATGTTCCTTTCATCCTTGAGCAACAAATCGCTGTACCCACAACTCACCAAATGCCTTGAACCATGGGCCAGATTGCCCAGAAAGTTCTTTCATTTCAGAATCTACACCAGGTAGAAATCATTGGCCGAAGTCGCAGTTTGCTACGACTGGGAGGGGATGGCTTCCTCACCTTCCACTTCGAAAGTGCAGGTGGACGCCCCGGCAGATTGGATCCTTGCCAGTAGATCATCGCCAGCTTCCTCCAACACTAAATGCCAATGCCAAATAAAATGCCTATTAGAATGTCAGTTGGTGGGGATCACTTGCAGGATGGGGCCCTCAAGATAGCGTTCAGTTGCCTAAAAAAAGTGGCTGAATTCTATGGTTTATGGTAGATATAACGAACTAGTTAATGGGCCCCCCCAGTTACAAGTTGGTTTATAATACCATTAACTATAGATATATCACCTATAAACCATAGATTTCAGCCACTTATAAACCAACTAACCTCACTTTTTAGGGCCCCATCCTATCAAGAAACGATCTTTTTGGGTCGAAAAGTGCCGTGAATTGTTGCTCCGTGGCCTGCCAGGCCTTCGAAAATTGGTCCCCACATGGCAATAGGTCAGCCCTGGTACCTTTCTGTTCACATCAAAATACGGGCAAACCCCCCAAAAAATGGAGGTTTGAATGGGACAATCCTCAATAAAATCTGATTTAATAGTGGATTTTCATGGATTTCCATTGTCATGTTCGAAGATGGTAGGGGATGTGTCAAAACCAAGAACTCATTACCAGTTATCCCTAAGAGTTTCCCATTTTTTGCCCATGTTCTTCGGGGATTTCCCAACTCGCTACGTTTGTTCACCACCCAGGACCTGTTGTTGCACCATGGGGACCTGGTTCTGATGGATCGTCGCATCGCCGGCACCAAGCCCAACGGCTTGCAGCGCCCAAGCCGCTGGCGGGTCACCCACCGGGCGGGCGGCTTAAGGGCCAGGCACTGCCCCCGGCGTCTGCGAAGCGAAGACGCGCGGAGTTTCGTGACGTTGGTGCCTTGGAGGATGGGGCTTTCTGGTCGCAGATGACTGGATTTTTTGTTTTGGGGGTGATTGATGGACAGTAATCGCAACATATTGGGTATCTAGGGTTAGTCATCGAAAGTTGGGTGCTCTCTTAAATGTGATGAAAAAGTGGGATAGTTCGCAAGGGGACATGGGATTTTCATACACCGACAGGCCCCTGCCAGCTTGATATGGGCGATGCAAGTAAGGGGCCCATGGTTGCTTGGGATCACATGACTACAAGTGTTTGGATACAAGCCATTGTGTGGCCAACCAAGGGCTTCCACTGTATTGCACAAGCCTCTAGGGAAGTCACTGCTCATTGCTTTCTAGGCTGAACAACGTGTCAAACCCGAATCATTCTTCAATTCTTGGAACTGATTTTTTTCAGTTTATTTCAATTCATGTCTTATTTCCTCATTTCTTCCTTATCACCATCCACCGGCAGACCCGTCCCAGGTCTGGACCCTGGGCAGCTCCCGCGCCGAAGTCCTCTCCTCGCTGCCCTCAACGCCGTGTTGGCGGCCGGTGACGACGCAGTGCTGCTGGCCCCTGGACCCTAGGGAGCTCGACCTGCGGAGGCGGGCGCTACGGCCTTGGGCACCGGGGTTGACGCTGGCAGATCGGCAGGCGGATGGAGGTGCTGGTTGAAGATGGTGAAGGTTGATGGACAAGGTGGACAAGGTATCACGATGATGAAAGTCTGAAGTGGGTGATATCTCTTTTCACTGGAATATCTGGAATGGATCCGACATCATGAAGTTCAAGAGCTAGGATGCAGGACGTTTTGGCGGAGCCTGCAGGTAGTGCTGGCTACTGGAGTGAGCAGATAATATCTGATAAAGAACCCAATGCTTGATGTTGGTTTTGCTGGGATCATCATTGATCATCCGGACGCCGCGGAAGGGTGTCAACTCTCATTTTTCTCAGCTGTGGAAAGTGGTTTCTGTCGCTACAAACCAACTGCTTTGTGACCACGACGGCTTTCTCGGAGCTCATTTGGACGCCTGAAGCCATTGGTGCAGAGCTTGAATTTGTACACTGCTAGGCCAGTCCCTGTACATCTGTCCGACTGTCCATCTACCCTCTGGTTAGGACTAACAGTTCGCCATGGTTAAGCCATGGCCCATAAAAATAGATGCTTTACCTGGGTTTACCGTTCTTAATAGCATGGTGGATCTTTCCATGGCTATTGCTGTGAATGTCATAGCCAGAGGCTATCTCCAAATTCTCGGAATAAAAAGCTGCCGAATGATTTGTTCGGCTTAAGGGATGATCCTATCCGAATGTACCTCTCCGAAAAATCATGAAAGAATCCCATGGAAAAATGATGGTTTTTTAATGGAAAGGGGAAACGCCAAAAAGTGGTTTTTGAAATTTCTATCCGATTTCTATCCCTTAAAAAAGGCCATCATTGATCCCTGAACATGAACAGAACTACCAGCTATTTTATGTCATTTCATCATATCGACTAGCAGGGGTAGTAGGGTGCACTGGCGCATCACCGTTTTGTTGGCAAATCTCTTTTGGTGAATTCCAACTGTTAGTAGTGAAATCTTCTTTTCGGTCGGCTTAGGATTGTTTGGTAACATGCCTAATGTTTGTTGCTGCACAGAGTTCTGCATGCCCAGTTTTTGGTTGGTAGAACATCTGAATATATAATAATAATAATAATAATAATAATAATAATAATATATATATACACACCTAATAATATATACATATATCTCTAACAATATATATATATAATAATATATGTATATGTCTATAATAATATAATATATATACAATATTATATAACAATATATACATATTATATACATGAGCATTCTGTTTCGTTCCACTCCCCACATTCATCTGAGATCTTCCTTTGTAAATTCATGACATCGCCGACGGTCAACGCCGCTTGAGGCGTTTCGCCTTGGCACTGAGCCTCTGGTTTCTAACGCTGCCTGCGGCGACTTGCTTGCAGAAATCATCGGTCATCCTGAATCATCCCAAGCAACACGTACATGGGTATAGGTCAAAACCCTATACCCCTGGTGGACATCAGAATAGCTTGTAAATGGGTGTTCATTGCCCTAAAAAAGGTATCTATAGGTATTGATCCGTAGCCACATCACTATTGAATAAGATGATATAGTACATTAATCTGGGTAAATTATAACGACCTCACTGCGACCGAACCCTGGAATCATGGTTTATTTTAGGGGAATCATCCTCAAATGGCCTTAATTCAGGTTAGTGAAATATTATAATTTATCCAGATCACTATTGAATAAGATGATATAGTACATTAATGGAAATTAGACCATCATATGTGCTATAATCAATCATTTGAAGTCATTGTCAAGCCTTTAGACCCCTCGTAATTCATCACAATTCAACATGTCATAATATATGTTTATGTATACATATAATATGATAATCATGACTAACAAACATCAGTCATATGTTCCTCCAAAGTAGTTGGTCGAGCGCTGGGTTCTTCAGGTGCAAACATCTACATCCTCATCATAAAACAGACATGATCAAACATCATCAAACATCATCAAACATCAAGCATCATCAACAATCATCAATCACAAATAATCACAAATAATCACACTATATCACACTATATCATCCTATATCATCCTATATCATCCCATATCATCCTATTAAAACCAAAAAAACACAACTTACTGGTTGCGTTGCCGTAGCTACGGTAGGTGGCTGCCTTGGCATCGCTGCTGGCGCCCTGGGTGCCATGGTGGCAGTTGGTGGCAGTTCACGTTCAGAACTGGGGAGTCAACTCGCGGAGTTGACATCATCTGGTTGATGGTTTGGAACCACCAATTAGGTTACACTGACACATCACTGGTTTCTGGGGTTATTTATCATAGCCATGGTATAGATGGCCCATTTATGGATCGTTTACCAATCAATTAATAATAGTTGATGGGAAGTTAATGGTTAATGGTTAATAGTTAATGGTTAATAACAATCTGAAATGATTATCTGGTTGATGGTATATAGCCATGGTATAGATGGCCCATAAAAATAGATGGTTTACCTATTAACAAATGTACCATAATATCACTGGTTGGTGACTGGAACCATGGAATTTTATGACTTACCCAATAGTTGGGATGATGATCCAATCTGTTCCAACTTTACAGTGTAATGATGTGTCAGTGTAATGATAATATTGATGTTTACAGTAGAAAAATAATGATCACTTTACATTACACTGACACATCATAAAAGATCAATAACATGTTATTACACTGATAAAAGATCACATCATAATGTCATGTCATCAAAATCATTATTACACTGACATTACACTGACACATGATACGATCTCCAGTAAGCACACAGTGCAATGGGAAACTCCCCAATGATATCCATTTATCTGGGTAAATGATAATACACTGACACATACCCTCTGGTAATTTGTTACATAGCCATGGTATAGATGGCCCATAAAAATAGATGGTTTACCTATTAACAAATGTACCATAATATCACTGGTTGGTGACTGGAACCATGGAATTTTATGACTTACCCAATAGTTGGGATGATGATCCAATCTGTTCCAACTTTACAGTGTAATGATGTGTCAGTGTAATGATAATATTGATGTTTACAGTAGAAAAATAATGATCACTTTACATTACACTGACACATCATAAAAGATCAATAACATGTTATTACACTGATAAAAGATCACATCATAATGTCATGTCATCAAAATCATTATTACACTGACATTACACTGACACATGATACGATCTCCAGTAAGCACACAGTGCAATGGGAAACTCCCCAATGATATCCATTTATCTGGGTAAATGATAATACACTGACACATACCCTCTGGTAATTTGTTACATAGCCATGGTATAGATGGCCCATAAAAATAGATGGTTTACCTATTAACAAATGTACCATAATATCACTGGTTGGTGACTGGAACCATGGAATTTTATGACTTACCCAATAGTTGGGATGATGATCCAATCTGTTCCAACTTTACAGTGTAATGATGTGTCAGTGTAATGATAATATTGATGCTTACAGTAGAAAAATAATGATCACTTTACATTACACTGACACATCATAAAAGATCAATAACATGTTATTACACTGATAAAAGATCACATCATAATGTCATGTCATCAAAATCATTATTACACTGACATTACACTGACACATGATACGATCTCCAGTAAGCACACAGTGCAATGGGAAACTCCCCAATGATATCCATTTATCTGGGTAAATGATAATACACTGACACATACCCTCTGGTAATTTGTTACATAGCCATGGTATAGATGGCCCATAAAAATAGATGGTTTACCTATTAACAAATGTACCATAATATCACTGGTTGGTGACTGGAACCATGGAATTTTATGACTTACCCAATAGTTGGGATGATGATCCAATCTGTTCCAACTTTACAGTGTAATGATGTGTCAGTGTAATGATAATATTGATGTTTACAGTAGAAAAATAATGATCACTTTACATTACACTGACACATCATAAAAGATCAATAACATGTTATTACACTGATAAAAGATCACATCATAATGTCATGTCATCAAAATCATTATTACACTGACATTACACTGACACATGATACGATCTCCAGTAAGCACACAGTGCAATGGGAAACTCCCCAATGATATCCATTTATCTGGGTAAATGATAATACACTGACACATACCCTCTGGTAATTTGTTACATAGCCATGGTATAGATGGCCCATAAAAATAGATGGTTTACCTATTAACAAATGTACCATAATATCACTGGTTGGTGTCTGGAACCATGGAATTTTATGACTTACCCAATAGTTGGGATGATGATCCAATCTGTTCCAACTTTACAGTGTAATGATGTGTCAGTGTAATGATAATATTGATGTTTACAGTAGAAAAATAATGATCACTTTACATTACACTGACACATCATAAAAGATCAATAACATGTTATTACACTGATAAAAGATCACATCATAATGTCATGTCATCAAAATCATTATTACACTGACATTACACTGACACATGATACGATCTCCAGTAAGCACACAGTGCAATGGGAAACTCCCCAATGATATCCATTTATCTGGGTAAATGATAATACACTGACACATACCCTCTGGTAATTTGTTACATAGCCATGGTATAGATGGCCCATAAAAATAGATGGTTTACCTATTAACAAATGTACCATAATATCACTGGTTGGTGACTGGAACCATGGAAT